AGTAAGAATTAGTAAGTTTATAGTAGAAACTAGATCTTAAATTCTTCTATAGAAATAGCTAAAATTAATTTGCTTACTATAGACTTAAGGATATTATAGGATTTTAAGAATACTTTAAGATTTAACTAGATATCTATTAGTATATTAAATAATTAAGAAAGTAAGTTAAAATATATAATATATATATAAGAGACAGTTTAAATATAGCTATAGAATATAACTAATAGAAGGGGAGATATTATATTATAGCCTAGGTTAAGACTAGGTAGTTATAACTAGTAAAATTATAATATACCTACTTTTTTATTTAATATAGATCCAAACTTATTCTATATAAGTAAGCCGAATATATAATTACTTTTCTAGAATAAGCTATAAAATTAAACTTACTCTTATTTAGTAAGCCTATATAAGTACTACTAGTATATAGATACTCTTTTAGCATTTTTATAGATAGATAGCCTTACTAGCTATTAATATACTTAGTTATATTAAATTTACTATTTTACTATTACTAGATTGTAATTTATATTACTTACTATAATATTCTAATCTACTTAATTATATACTATATATCTTAGACCTATTTTATACTCTTAGGTTAGATCTAACTATTATAATATCTTAGTATATTTATATTAATATTAAATATACTAATTAACCTATTAATTAATAATAATAGCAATTAATACTAATAGCTATACTTAAAATATAATTTTCTTTAAGTTTTATACTTATAATTATTATACTAAAAGCTTTACTAATAGCTATTTATAGATAATATCTCTAATTTTACCTATAGATCTTATATTAAAAGTAGCTAGTAGTATTGTAATTTATTTTATAGCCTTACTTTTTACTATTACTATAATCTATTTATTATTAAAGCTGCTAACTATATAAAGCTTTAAACTAACTAGGCAATTTCTTTTTTAATAATCTATATATAGATTTCTATATTAATATCTTATAAGAGTATCTTATTACTCTAAATATATATATAGTAAATATTTAATTTTTAGATAGTTACTTTTATTTCTTAAAATTAAATCCTTCTTAAGAATAAAATACTACTATAGAATAATAATTTTTATAGAACTCTCTTTTAATATAAGACTCTTTTTATTACTCTCTTTAAAGATAATATCTCTTTTTAAAATAAGATCCTCCCTTAAAATAAAATTCTATACCTTAATAATTCTATAGACTTAAATTATAGCTAAATTAATATTTAAAGCTTATCTTCTATATATAAGTATATCTATACTACTTCTTAATATTTATATAAGTAATTTACTCAGACCTAACTATTATTCTATTTTAATAATAATACTATTTAACTAGAATATTAATTTAATATTACTCTTTTAGCCCCTTAATAGCTAGACTGATATCTTACTTATCTATTATTTTACTAATTAACTATTTTTATAAATAAGTATTATATATTTTATTTTATTACTTTTAAAAGTAATATAACTTTAATTTAACTACTATAATAAATACTAGTACTTTAGTATAATTATTATATAAGCTGCTATAAGCTATTTAATACTTTATATTACTATTCTTACTATATTCTTAAAATATCTGAATTTATTATAGAAAGTAAATACTTTAGTAGCAGATTAATACTAGGTAATATACCTTAAGTATCTAATTCCTACTTTTATAAATTAGAATAGCAATCTTAATAATAGATATCTCTATATAGTAAGTATAATATTACAGCTTTATAAAGAAATAACTAGTTTAAAAATATTCTATAAGCTGAGTATATAATATTAACTATTACTAATTTCTAGCCTTAATAAAAGGCTATATAGTTATACTCTTAATATTAATATTTTCACTATATTATAAAATCCAATATAAAGTAATTATAGCCTTTATTAGGTATTTCTAATAATTACTATATATTAAGAGATATTTATCTTTTTTAATACTTAAAAACCCCTAAGAATACTAAATTAGTAATATAATATTACTAGGAGTATTAAGCTAGCTAATAACTATATATAGATATAAAGAATAATTATTTATATAGAAAATATTCTATTTTATATCTATAGAAAATCTTTATATTAATAATAGAAATAAAATAAGTTAAATAGTTATTTAGATAAGTAAACTATAAAAAGATTACTATTATTTAATTTTATTTAGTATTTTAAGTTTAATAAGAGTATTTTTCTAGAGATTTAATTTATAAATAACTTCTATAATATATTATTAGCCTTTCTATTATAGAAAACTGCTTTAATATATTATATACCTCTAGATAGTTATTAATAAATTAATTAAGTAGTAGGGCAGTAGTATATAGATATATATTATATACTATTAATAGCAAATAACTCTTATATACTATTTCTAGAACTTAACTACTTATAGTATTTTAAATCTACTATTAAGTAAATTTGGAGTTTTATACTTAATCTTTATAAAGTTACTACTTATAATATATAGTATCTACTAGTTATATTTATAGCTAGAATAGCTATAGTAGTTTATAAGTAATAAAGTAGTTTTCTTATTTTATTTATAGACTTTATTAACCTTAATAAAAATAGTAATTAATTTATTTATTATAAAAAGTAAAAGTAGCTTATTAAAGTAATTAGAACTATAAAGTTATATATAAAATAGGCAATACTAAAATAAGAAAATTACTTATATAAGCTTTAAGACTTAAATAATCTATTAAAGTAAGAGATAGTAGTAACTTTTAATATAAATAATTAAGGTATATCCTGGATTTTATACTTTAAGTAAATATAAATATAAGTTTTAATCTTAGCTTTTAACTTTCTATATAATATTATACTATAATAGAATAATAATATAATTATTATCTTTTTTCTACTAATAGCTATATTCTACTATTAGCTAATATTAATTAAATACTATAAAAAGATAGTATTCTACTTACTTTTATATACTTTCTTTATAGATTTACTTAATATAAGAAGTAAAGGCCTAAAGATATTAAGCTAGAGTATTTAAGGTATTAATAATAGCTAATTTATTATTTTACTATATAGTAAATCTATCTAGCTTAAAGTATTTATAGGTATAATAAAGTTAGTATTAATTAATTAAGAAGTTTTATTATAAACTATAATTAAATTACTAAATATAGCAGTTTTTATTTTTATTACTTTTAAGTAGTAACTAAATTAGTCTTAAAATACTAACTACCTATATAATTTACCTAACTTTTTAATATTATATAAATAGCTATAGCTATAGATATAGAGTATTAAAAGAAATTCCAGGTAATTAATATACTAATCTTTATAAATAAACTACTATCTTAGGAAATTCTAAGTATCTACTTATTATACTTTTCTTAACTAGCTTTTTATAATAGATAAATATACATAAGAATAGTATAAATATAAATTCTAAGAATTAAATTAGATAATTTTATATAATATATTAATACTATAATATTTTTAGTAACTTAAGCTATAACTTTTACTCTTTTTTTTATACTAAAGCTAGTATCTTAATATATCTAGGATTTAAAAAAGCTATAATACTTCCTAAATTATAATATACTTTTAAGCTTTATTAATCTCAGCTATATTATTAAATATTATTATAGCTTTCAGTTTAAAAACCTATATAAGAAGTATAAAAGTAATTCTATTATCTATATAGATTTTAACTTTCTATTTTTCTCTTTTTTAAATATAATTTATATTATCTATAGATATTTAACTATCTATATTAAAGGAAATATATATACTACTCTAGTAGGACTCTATATTAATCTCCTGGATATTATTAATAAGAAAGATTACACCTAAAAGCACTACTATATATTATATATTCTTACTACCTATAACTTAAAAACTTAGAAATTTAAAGTTATAGATAAGATTAAAAAGCTATTACTATAATTTAACTATATTTATAAATAAAATAAATCCTCTAATAGTATTATATTTATAGTTATTAATTTTTATAAGTAAATTAATTTATTTATTATTAAGGTAATTATAAATATTATTTTAAGTTATAAACTTAGATATTTTAATTAGAATAATAACTATATAAAAATTATAATTATTAATAAAAAAAAAGTAAGTTTAATATATTAAATATTTATATAGTAGTAAATAAGCAATATTAATACTTATATAGTTAACTAGATAATTTTATCTTTTATAGGTAGTTCTAATTACTATTCTTAGATAGTTTTACTTCTAGTAATTTATAGGTAGTAATTTTAATATTATAATCTATTATCTTATATAGGTATAAGTTAAATACTACTAAAATAATAAGAATTTAAATAATATTATATATTATATTATTAACGATAAAAACAGTTAGTTTTACAAATTATATAATAGTAAGATAGAAGCTAAAGTTAATATTTTATATAAGTATATATTTAGAAATTAAAAAATAAAAATATATCTTTTAAGATAGTATATTAAATAGATTTTTAAATTATAGTAAAATTAAAATATAAAAATTATTCTATTTATTTTCTTACTTACTTTTAGCTTATATTTAATAATATTTTATCTATTATTAAAGAATATATATTATTACTATACTTTAAAGTCCCTAAAAACTAAGTATATACTAAGCTTCTTCTATATAATATAATAAAAATAACACTAATAGCTAGCTTTATAACTGAATTCTTAGGTAATAAGTTTCTATTTTATTTCTCCATTCCCAAGTAAACCAGTATCATCAATCTTTTCAAAAAGTTCAAGATTCGTAAATACAGCCCGCATACAAGTCTCTTCTATATTCTCGCAGAAAAAGGATTCTCGGCGCTCATCCGCACAAGGTTCAAACAGGATCCGCGTATTCATGTTTATAGAGAGAGATACGGGTACCCGCTATTTGCCGCTTTAGCTAACAGTAACAAAGACGCTGTTGCTGCTCTTCTGAACTCGCCTTCGAGCATCTGTAACGGAGTCAACATCACAGAGGGTCTGAACTGCAGGAAAGACTTGAAAGAATATAAAAATCGAACACCGCTATCTTGGGCTGCCCAAGATGGTCGGGCAGTCATTGTCAAGCTGCTTCTCCAGACGGGGACGACCGTCAATAACGTGGATGGGGAGGGCCGAACGCCACTTTCACGGGCCTCAGAGACCGGCCACGAGGCGGTAGCGAGGCTGCTTATCGACGAGGGAGCGGACGTGAACACCAGCGACAAAGATAGATGTACACCACTCTTACGGGCCTTAGAGAAGGGCCACGAGGTGGTAGCGAGGCTTCTTATTGGACGATATTGCTACCGGCGACGATTACTGGCTCGTGGAGCATCTCTTCTCAGACCCCGATATCCTTTCTTGGCCGACCGTCTCAGACGCTATAGTGAACGTAGGGAATCCAAGATAGCGCCCTTGACGCTGCGTCCTCGCACAACTCAGCGTCTCTTTCCCCCCTGACCCCAAGCCCGGCGTGCCGTTCCTCCCCCACCCACCGATCTCGAAGCGTCCGAGTGGCATAGTAGAGTCCGCTGCTGACCGACGTATTATCGAGTCCCTTCTCGCCCAGGAACTTATATATCATTCTGGCCATGTCTGCACACAACTGGTCGTCAACCTCCCACAGCGTGCCGATGACGTGCCGGAACCCCGCCAGCTGGAACGCGCTCGTGAGGTGGATGCTTTCATCGGCTAAATCATCGTCCAAGCTCTGGCCGGTCCCGCAGGCCGAGAGGTAGGCGAGAAAGGGCGAACCCGCGCGGAGATTCGTCTCTAACAGGCTCGCTACCGTCAAAGGGTGGTCCTGCCAGTCCTCGAGGCATAGGCGGCTGTGCAACGGGTCTGGATGCGTCCCACCGTGGCCGGCAAAGTGAAAGACTCGACAGGCTGTCAAGGCTGATAGCGTCTCCGCCTGGCAAGGCCGCGGCCGAACGGCTGATAGGCCTGCCGAGACGCACACCGACCGCACGGCGTTGATCTCGTCGGCTGGATACTTCAATGGGCTCATGCCTGGCGTCTCATTTATCGAGACGAGAACGACGCCGTTGCTTGATTTGGCCCTCACGTCCTGGCGCTGCTGGCGAGTATGGATAATCGCCTTGACGGACGAGCTGTAGGACGACACGACCCTGTCGAGAGCGATCTTGCAGCCGGGTTTTGTGTGATACCTGTCAAAGCTTACAAAGCATATTCCTGCCCACACTCCCTCTCCATGAGGTTGAAGGTGAGCTTGGCAGAGAACCATCCCGCAACCTCAGTACCAACTGTTTCAAAAGTGAAGGCAGCTTCTTTATCGGCAATCTTAACCGTTTCCCCACCTCGACTTGCTGCAGCAGCGTCGGCAAGGAGCTGCACGCGACAGCAAGTGTCGAGGCTTATAAACCAGAAGACAGTGCTCTCGATAGACTTTCCAGTCGTGAACAGTCCATGGTTTGCAAGGATAGCAGCCTTTTTGTTTCCTAGAGCTTCAGCTATCAGGCGACCTTCGCCTTCTCCGAGCACAATTCTACCAAAGGAATTGTAATGCAAGGTTATTGTGGAAGGCGTAAGGGTCTTGGGAAATAGTATGAAGAGGGCAACTAAGGGCAGAGAATGCTCTTCTATAGATAGGGTAAGAATGCGCAACACAGTTTACGTCTGGACGAGCCTTATGAACAGCATGGTGGATTGTATATGCTTGTAGAGTGTGTTAAAGCCTAAGAGAGAGAAATGAGGGTTTAGAGAAGTAAAGTGGAATAAACCAACCCGCAGTATTCAGCAACCTGACTAGACTACCTTCTATAATTTCCCCCTTGGTATTTATGTGGATAAGATTAGATACCTTCAGTAGCAGCTACGCTACACCAAATAGACTCACTTAAAAGCTTGTAGAGTCAACATAATCCCAAAAACATTATTAAGAAGGCTCATCAGCATCAGGAGCAAGCAACGGATGGTTATACCCGGACGGTGATATACCCAGTCACTCTATAGCATCTCCGATTTATCAGGTCATCCCAAAGACATTTCCGCGAAAGAACTCACCCTGCATCGAACCCAAGGTTGGCAATGATTCGAAAAGCCAGGACTAGCCTGCCTTTCAAATACTGCCGCTCTTCAAGAGGGTCCGTAAATTTAGGCGGCCGGGTCCAACCAGTGGAGGCTGGCAATGCCAAAGTATCGTTCACGTCGTAACTAGTTCCGTTCTGATCTTTGGCCATGCCTTCTCCAGCAATCCGGGCCATTTCGTCAGATGTACTGAAGATTGCAAAGTCAAATGCGTCGAGGGTTGAACGATGGGCAGTTAGGCAGTAAATACGTTGAAACTTTTGACTATCGTTATACAAATCAGCACCATCCGTCAAGGACGATGACTCCGCAAGAAATTTGTCAAATTGGTAATTGACAGGCTCTTCATTCGAGATGAACCGCACGTGTACCACTTTCACGCCTTGCACCTTGCGCCTCACACAGCGCCCAATCGCCTCCTCTATTCCCCTGGCGAAGTCCACTGACGATGTGCCTGGGACGACCATTTCCACCCCAATAATGTGTTTCTGTCTCGATTTGACCCCATCGACCTTTCGTAGCTCAGCCTCGTGGCTGACGTTGACAATGGTCATTACGTGGTGGATTTCCTCAATTGCTGCTTCTTTAATGTCGTCATCGAAGCTCCCGTCCGCAAGTTCAAACAATGCAGTCGTTACATTGCCCGCGACAGCATGGGCTATCATGATGGATATCAAGAGGCCGCCAACCAGGTCCAGCCAATCGGATTGTTCTATCATGTTGGCGCCTAGAATAGCCACGATTGTTACCACGGCCGTAACGCTATCCGCTCGACGGTGTATCGCGTTCGACTCGAGGACCGATGAATGTTGCTCCCGTGCTACCTTCATGGCTACGAGGTCTCAATTAACGAGAGTCTAGAGGAGCGGGTCCTGTTGACTTGCTAGCATGGTAAAACAACTCCTTGATCACGATTGTTCCCGTCACTATCCACACAGCGTGCATGTCGGGTATCACTAAACTAGCTTCGCTGTGAGTCTGGAAAGGCTCATTCTGATACTCGATAGCCACATGGCTAGAAGTTTGAAGGTGTTTGTGTAAGCTGAGGACGTTTTCCCATCCAACGTAACAACCACCTGCCAGAAGTATCCCTGACACCCCGAGACTTCCCAGACTCTCCACCTTGCCAAAGCCGAGAGGGAACCGGTCGTTGGGCTCCTGCAGACTCCAATGGACGGTTGCCAGAGTCAAAATATCGGATGCGAGATCAGTCACACCATGCCAAGCGTCGGCAATTATTGAATTGGAGTTGAAACAGCAATCGCCAATGAACTTGGCGATAGCGATAGCCATGTTGAACGCCAAGCCGATACTCGTTACGCGCACACTAGAATTAGTTTGGGCATTGCTCATGGTGTAGGCATTGGTATGATAGAGGTTGCCATACTCGTAAAGTTCAGTCTCGCACATCTCCAGAATATCCGAGATGCAATATCCCAGATTGGCGAGATGGCTGCGTTTTGCCCCACAAACAATCCATGTCACCGCTTATTGAATCCTTTTGGAAGATGACCCTGTATTACGAAATCTCTGATAGATCGATATCATGACCTTCGTCCGAGGGGGTGTCAGAAAACCCCTCTCTGGCCGGCCCGGCCGATCCGGGCCCAAGCAATCATCAACATCATCATTTCGCTTTGAACACTATTGCCCTGATCAATTTGGCCGTGACGGATCCATCAAATCCTAGTAACCCGCCGAGCATCCCCTGAAACGAATCCACAGTCTTATTGTTTTATTCTCAACTAATCACAATAAGTATAGGAAGCCGCCAAGAGCATCGGCAAGGACTACTGAGTACCAGGGTCTATTTATAGGGGCTGTCTTTTTATTCTTTACTAATCCTCGGACTCGAGATCTTCTAAATACTTTCCGTATTAATATCTTAAGCTACCTGCTTTTTCTTTATAATAAGCTGGTTAATTAGCTCTAATCTTCTAGAGATTAGATTTCTAGTTTGCTGGTATAGACTGTTACTTACTTATCCCCTGCCTAAATTTAATACTATAGCTAATACTAGACTATATCTACCAGTATATATACAGACTAAAAGTAGGCTTATATATAGTTTTATATTATAAGGCTCTACTTAGATAATTTAAAACTGCTTATAGAAATAGTATAAATAATATAGCTAAGATATAATTTTAATATAATATAAGTAGTTACTTAGATATAGTCTTAATATATCAAGTATATAGATACTAAACTAGAAATAGATTATATATATATAAGTATTACTTTAAAAAATAGAATTTAAATAAGAAATATAAAAAGAAAGAAATTATTTAGATATCTCTACTTAAATAATAATAAATTATTACTAGAAGATAGTCTATTTTTTATATATATAGTAAATAAGTTAAGTAGAAATATATTAAAAGATATCTATACTACAGACTAAATTTTAAGATAAAAATTAAAGCAGGTATACTTAAAATAATTAGCTCTAATTTTAATATTATCTATTACTTACTATTACTAGAGCCTATTCTATATATTTTTAATATTCTTTAATATATAAATAAGCTACTTTAACTACTCTATAACTACTATTACTTATATTACTATAGATTTATAAGAAGATTTTATATTAATTAAGTTATTAACTCTTCTATTACTATTTAATATTATAAAAGTCTAAATTAAGCCTATATTATAATTATAATTAATATAATAAAGCCTGGCTTTTAAGCTCTTAATAAGTCTCTTAATAAGCTTAAGTCTATAGTAGGGGAATAATATCCTATTTTTATCTTCTATTTATCCAATTTTATATCTACTTTTAACTAGTAATATAAAGCTTTAGCAGTTAAATTACTCCAGTATATATATAATATACTATTAGTTACCTTTAGAAAAGGCTATCTTTTAGTTTAGCTACTCTATTAGCTTATTTATATATTATATAAAAACTGAAATAAATATATTACCAGAATTCTAAAAGCAGCTTTAGATTATTTTAAATATCTTTATATTAGCAACTATATAATTAAAAGGCTTAGCTATTACTATATTATATTACTCAGTTATATAGATATTATAAGGGAAATTATAAAAGACTCTTTTCTAGAGATAGACTTAGTTTCTATAGACTCAGCTAGTATTTTATATCTCAGTAGGTTTGCTAATATTTTAATAGCCAGTTATAACTTTAAAAAAGTAGGGTACAAAATAGATATTATACTTATATAGCTCCAGAGTACTCCAAATTAAGAGAATTCAGTATAGGCTTCTTTTACTACTATCTAAAAGTATATAGCAGGCTTTTAAGCGGTAATTATATAGCAGGCTATACTTAGCTTCACCGAGTCGAGCAAATAGCTACTCAGTATTTCCTAAATATATAACCAGTTTTCTACTTCACTCAATCAACCTAAAGACTAATATATATTCACAATGCAATTTATCGCACCGATGAGGTGGGGGAAGGTGAGGATCAAGAAATAAGTCGATAGGATAAACTAGTATGAACTGATAAAAGCGAAAATTAAGTTGGTACCCCTGCTAACCAGTGGAGCCCTGCTCCCTGTTCTTTCCGTCCGGGACAAAACACGGATCACCTGTGATAACAGCTTTAGCAGAGTTGCTAAAGATGAGGTGTCAGACGGAGATATGGACCACAATACGCTACCGGCAAGAGGAGTGATCATTCCCTTGTGCCGTAGCGGCATTGCGACATCTTCTAGGGAGGTCCGAGTTGTATTACTTAGCTCTACAAGCCATATCCTTGCCCCAGCCATGGTGATCGTATTGCCATAACACTAATCACAACGTGTATTCCTCACAACATCACCTGTTCGGCAATTCGGCCCATTCTCTGATTAGGTACACTGGGACTGGGACTTCTCACTTATCCAAAGCTGTCTGTTCAGAGCAGTCTTTGACTCCAGCATATTTCAAGGTAATGATACTGAGACATCACAATCATTATCAGGACATATTTCAGGCACCATTGTGCATCCCTTGCTACATTCGTGATTTCCCCTACCGGTCATCATCTAGATCACCTACGTTGAATCCTTCTTTCTTCGTCCTTAATGTTCTTAAGCTCCAATCCCACAACGTCTCGGCGAGTTGCTCATCCTTTGCAAGATCGGATAATTTCGAGTCCGTAGCGTCCCAGCTGTAACCGTAGTAGAACTTTCCAGCAAGCGGCCCAACATCGAAGTACCGTCCATTCAATGCTTTTGACTTGATTTCAGGGTCCGTAGCCAACAAAAGCGTTGTGAGAGCACCATCTTCTGGTGGGATACTTGTCCATCGAACAATCGATGAGCTTATGTAACTAAACATTGGCGGAAGAGCTGCTGAGTCAGTGCCAGGAGCAGTTCCGATTGTACCTACACAAAAATCCATTAATCTACATTCACTTTCACTTTCAAACTACTTGCCTGGATTGAGACAATTGACGAGAATATTGGCGTGACCAGTTGCTTGAAGGTGCTTGTAAAGATACCGAGCGAATAAGATATTTGCAAGCTTTGAGCGGCCGTATCTAACAGAAGGTCAGTGTCTCATTCTCGGACACATAATAGCCTGAGTCGCAATATGAAAAGCTGTACTAACCTCTGCAAGCTAGCTTGAACTTCGGCAAAGTTCTCTATAGTCTTGGATCCTTCCATTCCGAGACTTTCAAAATCGATTTTACCCTTTGAAATTGGCTTATACATAGCATGTGCGTGCGATGCGACAATGACGATCCTTGCTTCGCCAAACATTTGAGCAGTGTGTTGAATGAGGCTCTGAGACTATATTAATATGGACACGAGCAAAAAAAGACGTTCGTCATAAGATTATACCAGAAGGGAGTAAACAATCACAAAATGGCCGAGATACTAGACAAATAGGAATTGTAAGCTCTTGTCTTGTGTATCACATATATATTGCCCTACATTTGTCTGCATGAGCGTTAGCAAAAGTCTTGGTAGCACTAGGGGGTAGGCAGATCTAACCGCAAACTGTATCTCAATGCCATCTTTTGACAATGTTTCTGGCTGTATTCGGTTAAAAGTAGTCCGAACCAGTCGGCCATCAGTTTGGAGCCCTTGTAAAGTACTCACTACGACGGACAGAGCAGCATTTGCAATGAGGATATCAAGTCTGTCCTCCAGCTCGGCGAAACGCTTCGCCGCAGAGATGCAACTTCCCATATCTGACAAGTCAATCTCAAGGAACTTCATGCCTGTAACCATATGTACATCGGTTGTTGCGAGAGAGTCTAAAAGTTGCTCAAACTTGCTTTTCGATCGAGACGCCACATACACTTTGGCATTACACCTTAGTAGCTGGATTACCGTTTGCTTGCCAATTCCCGTGGCACCACTAAGAGGAGAGCTTTGTGTCAGCATGCGGTGGACTACAGAAATCTCTCTAATGCTCACCCAGTTACTATGATGACCTTGCCGGCTAGATCGGGAATTTTCTCAACGGAGAACTTCTTTCTGAACGGTTCCATACCGGCGTATAAAGTGCAAGCAATCACCAGTAAGACAAGTATGGCGATTTTCAAGGTAAGAACGGCATAATGTTTGGTTGATCGATGTTTTTTTCTTACGAGGCCATCATGAGTCTATGTATTGTATTAATAGTTGCTTCTATCCGGAGTTAGCAATCAGTAGTGCCCCGGTCGGCTCTATGGCCCTATCTCCGTCGTAGGCATACCCAGTAAGAATGCAAGCCCTATTGCGCAGAGGCTCGTATTACTCGGATGTTAACCGTATAGGCGCTTCTGCTTCTTGGAATATGCAAGGATACCAGAGAGAACTAGAGCAGCAAGCTTTGCGGTGAACCAATTAGAGTCAGACCAGATAAGCGGGCGCATAGGAGTCTCCGACTTAATCTCCATGAGTAAGCAGTTTCTAATAGCTTATTAAGGTCCTGATCGGTAACGCCGGCCAAAATGGCCGGCGGACTGCATAAGAGACTTCCATCTTATGAAATAGGTGGGGTTGTACTCCTGTACCGTCCCACCCTTTAATTAACAGCGCTATGCCCAATTTGAAGCTATCGCACACTGCCTTTGGCATACCCGGATCTTCTTCATCGTGCGCGGGGCAGCCTTGTTATTGTCGTTGCTAGAGATCCTGCCTGTATCAGTAATCCAAGTAACCTGCCAACGCTGCCGATACAGCCCGACTGCAATGTACCTTCGATCCCGATATCCGAGACGTCCCTATTGCCGGCCTCTAGCCGAGCTGTCTTATACCCCTGCTGAAATCTACTGGGATGGAGGTAGTTAATAGATTAGGTATTATTCTTCTTTAATAAGCTAACGTATATAATAGGCGAGTTGGAAATATAAGCGAGTTGGAAAAAATCCCATACTATTAAGATAAAAACTTCAATAAAAATATAATAATATCTTAAATTAATTAAAACTAATTACTATTCTCTTCTTTAGAAGTCTTAATTCTAACCTAATAGGTTCTTATATTATAACTGGCCTTTCTATAAGTTTTATAATATCTTTTTCTTAATATTACTAACCTCTCTTAACTACTATTTCTTAATAATTTAGCTACTATCTATATATTAATATCTTTTTAATTTAATTTATTTCTTTTTTTATTTAGAGTTATTATTTCTTTTTTATATTAGTAGGTTCTTTTTATTTTATATTACTTATTAAAAGTTTTATTTATTTATTAAAAGATCTAAACTTTAGCTTTTAATAGAATATTTTAATATATTATTATTTTTATTTTCTTAGAAAATAACTTAAATATCTTAAGAATTAATATTAAAAAGCTATTTTAATATCTTTTTATTTATTTTTTAAGGTATTTAAATTAAAAGCTAGCTTTAAGTATAGTTTTTAAGATTTTTAAAATTTAAGAGTTAAAAAGGCTAATTTTCTTTCTAACTAATATTAGAGTTTATAGCTATATATTAAGTTTTAATATAATATTTTCTGGATTTAAGAGAATAAATCTAGTTTTTTAAAAACCTTTTTTAATATTATTTCTTATTATAGTAGCTATATAAATAGTATAAAAAGCTGGGAAAAATTTAATCTTTAAAATATAAGTTATAGAATATTTAATTAATTACTTAATTATTTAATTATAAGCTATTTTAAGTAGCTTAAAATATTTAATATTAAAAGGCTAAAGTAAATAAAATAAAATAATATATAAAATATAATAATCTAATTCTTTTTATAATATTTCTTAAAGTTAATAAAATAGTAACTTTTATATTTATTAAGAATTAAAAGATAATAGTAATTAATTAATTAATTTTGTATATATTAATTAAAATATTTAAATTACTTAAAATCTATCTTATTATTAATTTAGCTATTTTAAATTATTATAATAATTTAATTATTTAAAAGGTTATTTTTTTAATATTAATTAATAAAATAATATTAATTTATAATTATAATAAATAGCTAGATTACCTAGCTTTCTATATTAATTATCTAAATAACTATAATTTATTTTTAGTTTTTAAGCTATATTAATTTTAAATTTCTATATCTTTTTTATTTAGTTTTTTTTATAATCTTACTTAATATTATTAAATAGATTAAATATATAATAATCTTAAATAGTAGAAATAAATAATAAGAGCTATATTTAATACTAAAAGAAATAATAGCTAAATAATAAATTATTACCTATTAATTTCTACTTAAAGCTTTTATTTAATCCCTCTAACTTTAATTTTATTATCTATAGTTAATAACCTTACTATTTATAGTTAATAACCTTAAGATAGTAATCTTATTTAATAATAAAATATAAAAAAACTAATATCTTCTATTATTAAGAAATTAATTTCCCTTTTAATATTTATTCTATTTAATAAATTTTATTTAAATAACTTATTACTATATTAACTACTATTAATTATAAAGTTCTTATTATATATATCTCTATATATTAAAAATATAAATCTAGATTTTAATATAATATAGAATTCTATTAGAATCTTTAAAATAAAAGAAAAAATATAAGCTAGATAACTATTTAAAATTCCTTAAAAAAGAAACCTCCTAGACCTCTTATTATACTACCTAGAATACCTAGATAGAAATTAAAAAATATATTAATTATTTTTAGATATAGTCTATTTTTAATAATAAAATAAACAATCTATAAAAAAGTTAGGCTATTAGTATTAATATTATATTCATCTAAATAGAAATAGGTATATTATATAACCTAGCTAATAATATTAAAAATACTAATAATAATAGAGGCTAAAATTTCTTATAGAAATTAGCTATAAAAAATACAATTCTGGTTCTAGGAGTTATTATGCTATATCGGGCTGGTATAGATACTAGCTACCTAGGGTGCTGGCTGGAGGGGGATTTAAATGAGGGATATTATGGGCGTTGGGGATCTCGGGTGTTAGGTTGGGTTGTAGGAGTTTTTAGTATATTTATTAAGGTTAGAGTTAAAAAAGTTAGATAGGATTCTAGTAGAGAAGAAAAAAGTAGCTTAAAACCTAAAATTTAGGCTTTAGTAATTATAATATATATATAATAAAAATACAGTAAATTTAAATATTAGGTTTTCTTATTAAGAACTATATTTTTTTATATTTATAATAATTATTTTACTTATAATAAGGTTTATTATAAAGCTAATTTTATTAAAATTATAAATATTATTAAAATTAATATTATACTTTATAATTATATTCTCTATAAGCTTAAATTAATTATAAATAATAATTAGATTTTTATATTTAGCTTTTTAATAGTTATATTTATAAATTTTCTTTTTAAAATCTAATTATTATTTAATAAAATTAAAAGCTTAATACTTATTAATAAATAATATATTATAATTAGTAAGCAGTTAATTAGCTATTCTTTTAATATTATATAGTTATAGAAGAAATTCTTATAAATTTAAATTAAAAATAAATTAAATAATCATCTATTCTTCTAAATTAAATAGTTTTTATAAGTTAGAAATTATATTATATTAAAACTAAATATCCTACTATCTATAATACAGCCTATACTTATTAATCTTATAAGTAGTTATAATATATTAGAGATTTAATTTTAAGTTATTTTAAAAAGCTTAAAAAGTAAGAAGAATTCTTACTTTAATATTTAATTATAATATACTTAGTAGTTAAGATTTATATAATAAAGTAGAAAGTTAGATATTTAAGGAAAAAGTATAATACTTACTTATCTACAACACTTACTTATTATATATATTAAATTAAATATCTATAGTATCTAATAGCTGGTAGCTGCTTCTTAGAGAAATTATAGATATTATATCTTATATTATAATTATACTCTTTAAGTAGTTAGAGTGCTCTAGTTATATATCCCAGGGGGGGACTAGATGTTGAATTGGCGGTATGAAACACCAGGGCTCCAGGATGTCACGTGTGAATAGGGAGGCCTTCGGGCCCGGTCAGACTGTATGAGGAAGACGGTCAGGAAAGGCTGTAATCTCAGGGCCCCACTTATAGGCCCGGAGTGTGTAGTCCAAAGCAGACAGCCCCTTACAACAAGAACAGATACAGAATACACACATATATTTAAGATTACCAAATGGTCACATAAGCTTTCTAACACTAGAAGCTTAACAGTAAAATAAAAAAACCAATAATAGAATTAACAATACAGACTATATACTCAGTCTATTTAAAGATTAATAGTTTACTCAGACAGACTAAGGTTTCTAGTCTAACCGGTTATCTTTTGTAATACCTCAATAAGCTGCAGTAACAGCTGTATCTTAAAAAAGCTAGATCTTAGAAAAGCTAGATCTGCTGGAAAAGCTAGATTTTGGAAAAGGCAAAATCATAATAGATATAAAAGCTCTGCAAGCCTCACCTCTTCCAGCCATCCTTCCATCCTTATACACACCTCGACCAACCACCAACCGAATAAGATGTCTTTCCGTCCCACACTACAGACCGATGTAGTCTCTCCCAATCGTCGCTATACTCATAGCTTTCATTTCGATCTATATCACTTAATCCTAAGTGACCCTAATTATACTCTTCAATCCCCTATTCGGCTGTAAACGGAGCGGCCGTCGCTAAGTCTTGCTTGGGTGAAAACGCGCCTTAATATTTCACTGCCTTAGGCTTGGATCCCTATTATTGACTTATCCGCATCCCAATCCCTTCTTCTTCGTCACGTGCGAAAATAGTTTTGGATCAAGTAAGCTGAGAGAATTCATTGAATTTCTTCATTGCAATAGATCCTTGGCTATTCGCGGGGCATGAAATCCCCATTCTGTCTACTGTCTTATGCGAATACCGACCTTGAATCCTTTGGGCTTCACAAACCAGTAATTCGTCGTCTTCCACTCTCCTTTGGTCGGGGCGTCTCCAGGGAATACAAAATTGAAGTCCCGGACGATCCGCGGGATAAGCTTAGATATCTCTAATGTAGAGATGTGTCTTCCAATGCAGGTCCTTGCACCCATCCCAAACTACCAAAGTGTTGAGTGGTCACGATTCTTATCATCTCTCTTGGCAAATGTTGGACTTACGGGTACCCAATGTCGATTCATCGCGTCAAGCTTCTGCTTGTCGCTTTCGAGCCAACGCTCAGGTCGGAATACCTCCGGGTCTGGTCCAAAGGTAGTCAAGCTCGCATGCTCTACCCAAGGGTTGATACCGACAGTGGTCTATCCCGAAGCACGCGTCAGTATATTCTTTTAAAGTCTTTAGCGATAGGAATTTCCTTACCCCCGATGGAAAGAATTGTCCGGCAATCGTAGCGCCACCTTCTGGCACCACCCGTTCCAAAGGGAGGCCGACTGCAGGATGTAGCCTTAAGGCCTCTTTAATAACGGCCTGAAGATATGGCATTTCTTGAGTTTCCTTGAAGCTGAGATTCCTTGAATCTCTAGCTCGAGTGTGATGTTGATCAACTTCTAGGCGCAGTTTCCGGGTCGCTTCTGGGTGATTCATGAGGAAGAATAGGACAGCCGAGAGACTGATCCCCGTGGTGTCTGACCCAGCCGTCATGTTGGATGCGCATCCACTCAAAACATACCAAGAATTGTAGGTGAGGGGATCTTTTCGACGTCGCGCCTCATATTTGGAGAGAAAGTCCATTTGCTGAGTGTCCTCGTTCTCAATGTCCAGGTGCTTGGGCTTTGATTGATGCTCACGCATCAGCCGCTCAGTGAACTGTATGACATACCCTATCCCACTACCCGACTTGCCTGCAAACCAGTTGCTAGCGGTGAACAGAAATGGATGCATCCACGAGTAGATGCCCACAGAACTGGCGTAGTTAAGGAACCCTTCCAAGGAGGCCATAATACCCGCTATGTCTGTACCGCGGTCAAGGAATCCTAGTCTCTCCGAGTAGGTAATCATGCTTATGACATCGAAGGCGTAGCATTGGAACCAGTGGCCCATGTCAACAACCGACATGGCCCTAGTTGACCCAGACTGTTCAGCCATCTCTCTCAGTCGTTGATCAAACAAGTCGGTACATTCGTTGACAAAGTCTTCGTATGAGACGAGTGCTGACATGGCATGGGTACCTTGGTAGAGCCTTCGCATCTGGGCATGCTCTTTGATGTTCGCATGAGCGAAAAGGGACGGCTGGTTGGGGTTTGGGGTGGCAAAGGTTTGGTAGAAGGACGATTTGGCAAACTTATCGGCCTGCCCAACACCATAGATGATCGGCGCTGCTTGTGGATGGTCAAAGCTATATCGGTTGGGGCCATATCGAACAATGGGGCCATGTTTGCGATGCAAGGCTATGTTGTCTCGTTCAAAATGTCCACGCCGTACTCTGCCAAGGTACCATAGATCGGTGAAGCGGGCCAGAAATGGGCCTGGAATATGCCTGAGAGGCGAAAAAAGCCCGCGGTAAATGGATGATAACACCCTCCAGACAATGAGGAGCGCGAGGGGATAGAAGAGGAAAAGAAAGAGAAGCGCCGCCATTTTGGCAAAAGCAGCAATGTACTGGCGAGTCTTTGGAGGAAATTGGTGCAAGTTTGATTGGGCTACCGGCCATTTGAAGTTTTAACGTTGGGAGGGACAGTGTCCGGCGGTATTTGATGTGGATTTATAGAGAGGTGCTATTGGGAATGCCTGTTGCCTAGCTACGTTTCGTGTATTTCGTGAGGTTACGTAGCTGTTGCACAGTCTAGCACACTGTTCCTCTTCTCTCCGTGTGGAGTTCCGCCTTCCTTGGCTCTTGGTCTGAGAAGTCTGAGTTGGCCGGGTACTCTGTTCAGTTCCGATGTGGGGGATCTACAGGAGCAGTTATAGGTGTGGCTCCGTTTGCCTCTCCGACGCCGTATCCGATGTGGGGAATCTGGTTCATATTGGGCTACGTAGAATCCGTATTCTTTCACATTTCTGTGTAGTCCCGATATGTTCGGCGAATAGCACTAGCAGAGCCTGGCAGCTCTCTTATCTCAGGCAGATAATAATACTCAGAGCCGGGAATATCTGTTACCAGCGGAGGGGGAGGACTTGTTAATATTACGGAGGACCATTTCAAAAATCTGCCCACAAAAAAAGGCACATTGCTTTTTCTAACCAAAGTGACATTGAGTACTCCGTACATGATAAAAACTACTGCACTGTAAGGGGCGCTGTAGTATAGCACGCTCAAAGCGCTAGCCTTTAGCCGCCGACCCTTAGTACTATAGTTATAGCGAGTTTAGAGGATGATAGCTGGCAACCTGACATCATACAATGTACCATCAGGTTTCTGGCAAGGTGTTGGATTGACCACTCGTGTGGCGGCATAAGACCCGAATTTGCATAAACCTCTGATACACAGATATCCTAGCCTTGGCCAGATGACTAGAAAGCCCCTCTCGAGACAAGAGGGGCGGGAGGCATCCTTGATCAATACAATCATCATTTTGGTCTCCACATCGTATTGAACACTATTACCCTGATCGAATTGACCGTATCGGATCCATCACAAGGGTCAAGGGATGTGGCGTCTTTAGCACAAGCAAAGACTTTTGGAATGGTCCTCCGTAGTGGTGTCAGCGAGGCTGTTGCGTCATAGTCAGTCGCCATATGTTAGGGGACAGTTTGCGTACCAAAGATCCCTTGGCATTGCTCTTTGCCACTCTTTTTCTCCGCCGTAAAGTCGGAATGTGTTTTTCGGTTGCTACTTTGTATGGCCTTCACCGTATCCACAGACTTTATAGCCCGTCTGTCTCCCGTCCAAGGCGTTGAAGTATAAAAGCTTGTTGATCTCTGTCGGAGCTAGCCTCCTCCGGTGCTGCTGAGCAAGAAAGCTTGGTTATTTTTCATCAGTGTCCTTCGGCTCCACGTCCAAGTCTCGGAACCTCACCCGCGCCGAATGAGGGGCCGAGCACAATACGGGTTCCCGGGTCGCGTTTCTAATACAGCTCTCTTCTTAGCTGTGTCGTATCAAACATCTCACTCAGGATTCTTTTTTGTCATAGGGACCAAGTCTTCAAAATGTCCATCACTCGCGTTGTTCAGTTGCAATTCAAACCCGATGTTGATGTCAGCGTCATCGACAATGTGTGTACAAACCACGGCATTCCTGAGTTTTATACCACTTCAGTGAGCTGCTCTTATTGACACGTGCATTCTCAGCTATCTTCACAAATTCTCGGCATGAAGAGCAAGTGCCTCGATTCTGAAACAAAGAAACCATACATCGAGTCCATTGGGGGTGGTCCCGATATCTCTGTTGAAGGGCTTCAGGTAAGGATCACCAGCCCCTTCTCGTCAGCATGGCGCGCCTATGCAATCAGTTTCATTCACGCAATGTAACCATGATCTCACATCTCAATAGAACGGCATCACCCACGCATTCATCATAAAATTCAAAAACCAGATTGATCGAGACTATTACGCCCTCAACGACGCTGCCCACCAGGCTGTTATCCAGGCACTTCAGCCGGCGATTGAGAAGGTTCAGATCATCGACCTCGCCACAAGTGGGTAATGAATTACAAGACGTCTTAGGCTGTTCTCCAGGGGTGTCGGAAATTGGAGCCATGTTTTTGAACCATGTAATCTATATCCTTCATGTCCTTTTTCTCCCAAGTCAGTGGAGATTATTACGCAGGATAGACAGTACCAATACTTCGCAACAGCTCTATCCTCCATGTATTGAGTACATGGCGACATAGAAAATTTCCGAAAAGACCAATTGGCGTGTGCTTAGTGACTACAATATCTGATGATTGTCATGAAGTGTAGAGGGTAAGACGCTGGCTTCATAACGGCTCCCAAGTCAATACAGATGGCCCCAACTTAGTCAAGGCATTACGGTCCTGACGGAAGCAACCATTCTTTCATCCAAGTCCTCTGGGGTCTCAACGATAGTATGCTGATTCTGGACGATGTGTGGAGCCGGAGCTGTGGGTGTACCACTTGTGCCGTGATTCGGAAATGTCTTCCGCATCCCGAACCAACGGTACATGAGGTGAAGCTTAATTCAGTCTTGGCGCCAGCAAAATTTTTGTCACAGCTACTTTTCTGTCTGACGAGTTCACTGCCCACATTCCCAATCCTTCCAACCATTTTTCATCACACTATGTACAGTTTAGAGTGGCACTAACGAAGAAGGGGTGTTGCGACTTTATGCAGTTAAAGGACGCCAAACCAGCAAAGTAACTGAAGCCAACACTGCTCAGACAGCACCGTGACGAGTTCCCCACTAGTCGCGCATAGGAGGTATATTCTATATGATTGTACGGATACTCAGTCAGGAGTTAGTGACCTTATCTCCGAAGCCCGGGTAGAAAATACCACGAAGGTCATGACCGAGGGCCGCAGTGTGGACATGTACCCGGCGGTCCCGGTCTCCCGGTGGGGTAATAACCGATCAAGTGTGATCAAGCCATAGCCCTACATACAGTATTCTATACACGGCAACCAAGAAATGAGAGAGTATCCAAGAGGCAGTATATGAAAACCGGTTAGCGTGCGTTCAGTGACTATATCCGATCGCATGAAACTGAAATTATTGATATTCGCTTCATCGGTTACCACGGATTCTCTGAGGGGGATGAACATAGACGGGATGTTGCTAGCTTTTCATAAATGGAGTATGTTAGAGGCATCTTGTGTATGTCAATGACTTAGGGGCTAATTATCCCTGAAGCGGCGACACAGCTGGCTAACTCGCCTCTTCAATAGGCAACCCTTATGACTGAACTTCCTCTTCACCAAATGCTCCAGTGAGTTATGTTCTGGGTGGTGGTTTGACAGGCGAGGTTGCCCACTTCCGGATCCTCTTTGTGTATCGAAGAGATCTGTTTGTTGGGAAGTCCTCGCCCGCTTCACCAACTGAAGATGGAGAAAATCTACTATATGATCCTAGGCGTGTAGGTCTTCGGGTCGGAAAAGGGAGAGATACGGCGCTCAAACTTATACGTGCTTCGATGTGAGGTCTAAGTAGTTTAGCATGACTCGGGCACTTATCAACGTGAGGACTTCGGCAACACTGGAACCAGCCCAATAGCTCCCAAGTCAGCTCTAACAGTGAGATGGCTTCTTGAATATTCATGAGTCTTGAAATCAAGCATATTTTCCAACGGCCGTGAGGTGGATTGGTTGGTAGAGGAGCGTACTGAGACTCAATTCAAGTGACACCAAACCTGCAGGTGGTACTATGGGGTCTAGCTTGAGAGTGACAATGCAACCAAGGTGCCAACTTCACCCACAAACCTGTTTCCGATGGATTTCCAATATCTGCAAACATATGGTCCCATGGGGAAACGAGAAGTACAATGTAGAACACCCGCAGACAAAATATGCTCAGTGCTCGCGTGGAGTTTTCGTAGACTTTCTCAGGCCTGGCTCATCTTGACAAAGACAGCCTTAGTGGCCGCTCGCTGGCTTACCCTGTTCCACCAACCCTTGGTGTTTGTCCTAGACTCGATTTCATCAGATAACTGTAGACGGTTCTGGATAAAACTGATCCATGGAAGGTGGAAGAGATCAACCAAACTATAGGTCTGGAGTGTCATGTGAGCGTGTGAACTGGTAAGTCGGGTAAATGACACAGTGGTATTGGAGCAACGAACATTTCCAGCAAGGTAATCTTGTTCAGATAAGATATTCTCATAGTAATCGAGCACATTCATCAACTGAGCTTTTTGTTGGTCCACGAATGCTTCATCGGTTTCTCCAAGACCAAGGACCCTATGAAGGTTCGCAAGTAGTCAGAAAACCAGTCTGGTAACCAGTAATATGAATGGCAGGGCATACTTCTTGAAGATTAGCTCAAACCCGAGCTTTTCGACTGCAGGCTCGAAATATGAGGCTTCGACGCTGGCTGCTTGCTCGAAAAGTGCCAGAGCCTTGACGTCTCCTGCCGGTGGGCCTAGTTCAGACCGATGTTTGCTGGCGAGATAACGACAGATTGCCCTTGACTCAAACAGATTGATGTCGGCATCCTGAAATGCAGGGACTTTGGCAAATGGATGGTGTTTCTTGATGTAGTCGGGAGCCTTGGCATTTCGTGAGTACTGAGCAGACGTTTCCCGATCGCGACGGTCTCTTCAAAAGCACATCGGGCAAAACTCACGTGGTGGTCTGCTTTGTCGAAACGCAACGTGTGCAAATCGTACTCAATTCCCAGCTCCTCCACAAGCAGCAGAACCCGTTGCGTTCGGGTGGACACAATATTTCCGTGGATGATGGTGGACATGGCGAAGGTGTTTGGGATCGAATGGTTTCCTAGGAGTGATGTGTCAAGGGTCAAGTTGAACGATGAGAATAAGTAGGACCAACAAGTTCAAAATTCTCAATCTTAAGTCAATAAGTCCTGGGTGATCAGCCCGGTATGGGTCCGTAGATGGCAGTTCCGGTGGGAGTCGAGGGGACCGGTGGAGCCGAAGCGGCCAACGCCATGGTATCTGTGTCAGAAACATCAAGCATAATAAGCGACCAGTCCCGCGAGATATTTCCTTTCCATAGATAATGACCTGTCAGTCGTAGCAGTGGATGAGAGCTCAACAAGTGGTCTTTTTTTCCATCGTTTGTGTACCCAGTTACTATTTTCAAAGCTACCAAAACAGAACTCATGCCATAACAGTTCCAAAGCGAGACAGCGGTCAAGAACAAGTAGGGCGCTCAGAAAGGATCACCACTAAACAAACACTCAATCTGGCACCCGGTCGTCGTACCTCGGCTAACTATGTTACAAGTCTTCAACGACTGCCAGCTTGTTTCAAGTCCCAATGCAACGACATATTGTTCGTCTTGGCCGCTAATTCTGCTAGCCCAATGATGATTCGAGCACCTGCCTCATATGTTTCCCGCAGATACAGATGTCTGGCTATCTTGGAGACGCGTGAGAAGGTGGGCGTATGTTGAACTAATGCCCCATGCCTTAAGGGACCGCATCAGAATAACAGACTCATCTAATAACTTGCGCCGGCCCTCGGAGCAGAGAAGGTTGCTGATGCCTGGCAACTTAACTCGGTTCCACCCGGACTCAACCCAGTCAGTCATTTCCATACCAGCCAAAGCCTTCGGCCCCAGGACCACAGTGGGAGCCGGGCGCGGGGATAAAAAGCCGTCCTGAAAGCGATCTGCGAGCATCGAGTATATCCACAGGATGAAGACGGCCTTGAGCAGAGACACCGGGGTTCCAAAGTGGGTGCAGTTGTTTGATTTGACCGCCTGTAGCACACGCGCCGCATAGAAGCATGCCAACCTTCCCTGGGCGGCTGTGTCTCGCCACTGCTTTGCCATATGGGCCAGTGATTCGTCCCCGGCTTTGCCGTAGATGAAGTTCACCACGATGGGAGTTAGACTGCACTTTGGGGCATTGTGGATCATCAAGGCTGTCAGAGCCATGAGCTGGTGGGTTGTTGCAGCCTTAAGCTCATCTATGGGCTGTTCCAGCTGCTCATTCTCTGTCATGGCCAGAAGCGCCCTCAATGATGCTTCTGCCAGCATCTTTTCGTCGTTGGAAAATCGTGGCATTCCAGGATGGCTGGCGGCCTCGTCGTTGATGACATCGGAGAGATGTTGAAGCATCACCTGCTTCCCAATTGTGTTCGTCTTGGCCCAGGCAGTCTTCCAGGCGTTCTCGATAATCACCCGCTCCATTGTGCTAGAGTCTCCAGGGCCTATGAAAGTCCTGTTGTTAGCCAGTCCCATCATCTCCCAATGTGATATCAGAGGGCGAAGGCCTAGATTATTTCATGGCTTACCTAAAGTAGTTGGGTAACTAGCCCAGCTTTGAGCAGTGGATGCACCCCAACGACCGTCCAGTTGTGGAAGTGAGATTTGTAACTCGGACAGAGTCATTAGGCGGCTGAGGTCGAAATGACTTTTGAAGGAGGAGTCTAGAAGCTGCGAGTATCCATTAGCCTCTGTCTACTTTAGTAGTATTAAAATCATGAGCCCGCGTCTTCAAACGAGACACTTTCACAAACTTACCCAAATGGCGAAGCCCGTACGCCGGCGTTCCTCGTCGAGCAGCCAAATCTGCCACTTTTGCGAGAGGGGCAACTGAAGCTGTGAGAACTTCTGCATGGGGAACATGTCGGTGAAGAGCCGTTTCCGGCGACCAAGGGTCACAGGCACCGACTGTAAAATTTCGGCAACCTCGAGGGTCCTTCGGTTACCGGCATAGGCCAAGCCTAGGTTATTTAAAAGAATGATTTGCGTCATCCACAGTTCACGGCCGTTTTGGTTCTGTTGCTCGCACTAATTTTCTGGGTCAGGGCTGGCAAGATCTCTGCGATTCTGGCATCTACTTACCATAGTTGAAGTTTGCCGACGGATCAGCTCATGCATAGCATTGGAACATGTGTGTGCATCTTTGAGACCGGAAAAGTGAGCGCCGATGGCTGCGACGGTGAAAATCAGTAGCCAATGCGTCCTCGAACCGGACAATGAGGGTTTGTGAAGGATGGGAAACACAGGATGGAAAAATTCAAAGTAGAGCTGCACCCAAGCATTTAGAACTGGCGTTGGTGGAATACGTAAATGGACAAATCGCGGGTAGTTTGGGCCATGCTGCATCCGAAGCGCATACCGAGATACCTTCTCACCAACGTCATCAGGGACCTCGTCCACGTGCGCAAGGTTTTCTTGATCGATATCTTCCACGGAGAGATCTGACAGGTCAGGAAAGACGAGCTGAGCATCGACCTCGATCGAAACTGGATGGTATTGCCTCGGTTCAACGGCATCCTTGTCGATGGCTGGAGAGTGGCTGCGGCTGTAGAGCTCTGCGACAGCTGACGGATCCATGTCGGACACGGGAGTGATAGGAGCGATAGCTTGGGGTGGTCTAAAGTCAAGTGATTCTAGCCAGAGGTCGTTGATCGACTCGAAGCCGGGCTCGTACTGCAAAAGCGAGGGCTTAATAAGCCAATTATCGGTATCGAACATGTCTTTGAACAACAGGGAGGGTGTTGACATAGGCCCAGTTGGATCAAAGCCGGCCAAGATGTCGCCCATTTCGAGCAGCGCGTCCGGTTGAAGCGTTTCAAACTCAGACATAGAGGCAAGGGGCGCTGCCACTGCCGACAGATGGGAGCGTTGATCCGCCAGTTGATCTTCTTGTTGGCCTTGTCCCGCCTCTTGGGCTTCTGCCTCTGTTTCCGCTTCTGGTTCCTGGAATGGAAACCGCGATGGCGGCAGCTCGTTTACTACCTGAACAATATCGTAGGAGTTGGAGTTCTCCTGATGAACCGTCGTTGGCGGCGATTGGGGCGAGAGATGGGTATTCTTGAGTCGCTTGTCCGAGGCCTTGTCCGAGACGCCGTCGGAAGAAGACTTGCGCTTTGATAGGGGATCGTAGTAACACTCGTAATGATGTCGATGGCAGCGCTGGCACGGCCGCTCACCGTTGCATCGGACTTTGGAGGAGCTGCAGGGCTTGCAGGCCTGGGCAACTCGACGGCGCTCACCCTGTCGGTCGCTATTACTGGCGCTGTCCTGCTTGTCGGCATGAAGATGAATGGCCGTATGATGGCGGGCGAGTGAGTCTCTGAAACATGGTCAGCATGCTAGAGCTGGGATCAGAGCTGGAGCTGGAGCTGGCGACGCCTTGAGTGTTGAGCGTGAAGGCGGTCGATGAACAGTTTCTTACACTCGTCCAAAGCTCTGTCCGCACTCAGAACATGTAAAGGGTTTCTCTTTAGTATGTGTGCGGAGATGTCGTTGGTAGTGCTCGGGACGCTTAAAGGTGCTGTTGCAAGTGCCACAGGACAGCTCGGGTTGCGCGGCGCTGGGAGTCATAGCCATCGAGAAGCAATCAATGGACAAGGAATGCCTTTTGTCTAGCGGATCGAAGGTGAGGAGGAGAAACGGTAGTCTGGATGGAGGCACCGTGGGGAAAAGGAGAGTCTGCGTGGCGCTTCAATGACGGATCGAGCAGTGCGTGACTAGCTAGCTTCATCCCCAGCTCTCGGTTATCCACTAGACTGCCGACAACCCCGCGGTGCTAAGTTGGGTTTTGTGGGGTATTGCACACTAATTGGTTCAAGCTGAGCAGTAGCATGCGAAGCATTACAGAACACTATCCCTCGGAACCGGAATTGGAGCTCAACTTCCCCTTGGTGCCGCGGCCTCATCAGGGATCGACACAAATGACCATAGCCTATTACAGAACCTCTCTAGGCCTAGCTATGTCACGGCTCAGCTGCTATATAAGTTACTACGTGTGCAAATCTCGCATCATTACGGCCCCATGAACGGCCTAGTTGTTTTGGTGAATGTTGAACTCGGTGTATTATCTGAAGCCAAGGGTCCTTGAACGGTCACTGCAGTAGCATACCAAGAGATGAGAACGTGTAGGTTCAAAGCATTTCAGCCGTGACGACCTTGAAGTCAGCCATCAGCCACGAGTCCTCAAATATTGTGTCCGTAGTTCGGAAATAGCTTCCGAGTTCCGAACAAATGCTTCACGGAGGCAAAGCATTATTCAGGCTTTGCACGAAGTTAAAAAGTTGAACGTAGCCCACAGCTACGGGTCCCGCGGTTGTGGCCTGAGGCGGCCGGGGCCCTTACGGCCCGGAATAGCCTCGCCTAGCTAGCCTAGTCAGCTCGACCCAAAACACATCGTTGACCTCACAACAAAAAGTATGTCGTTGGCACTGGTCTGTGTGGTCTGTCTGGCCAGATCCTGACAAATCTCCAACATGTTGCATGTGAAGACACAATCGATTGTGCCCGTCAGGAGTTAGGGACCTGATGTCTTAAGTCCGGGCCAAAAGCATCACAAGGATCACACCCGGTGGTCCGAGCTCCCGGTGGGGTAATGCCGAGATTCCACGCACGTGATCCCCGCGACCGTTGACTTGGTGGTCATTATTTGGCAGATGGAAATGAAGCTATTATGCCAAAATACCTGATAGAATCGATTCCATGCGCAGGGATTTCTCTCATATTATTTTGAAGTAGCATAATGATAATGCCATGACCTGTGAGGGTTTTGGTTTCCTGGATCACCTCATTCATTACAGAGTAGTCATCCGACACCTCCTTGAGCAGAGACTAACTTTAGTCTCGTCAGTCAGAGGCCAAAGTCGTGCTAAAAGAAACCAAAAGCTGAGCTAGTAATGACCAACCACTGCTAATAGTTGAGTCAAGGGGTAACAAAATGCCCTAGATCGTATTTTAGAAAACAAGCAAAACCATGATGGGGAAGAACTTGGACCTGACATATTGAACGACTCAACACGTGACAAGTTTATTTAATGCATTAACTACGGCTATAAATATAATATGAAAAGTAGTTCGATTCATCTGGAGGTCGTTCTGCAACTGAGAAGCGGGTTGGAGGCGGTGTGTTAGCAAAATCTGATGCTACCTACCCTATATCAGAAATGTGAAACCGTCTAGCTGCCGCAGTATTGGGCCATTTATTGCCAATTAAGAATCAGAAGCGATCAAAAAAGTTGAAATACTATACAGACAAATGCGATTGGTTTAAGGTGTCTTTATCTAGTTTAGTCCATACCTGGATGTTGCCACCATTGTTGACACTTGCGGAGTTGAGCGTTGAATCTTTGAGCGCAGATGTCTATGTCGATACACAACACAGCCCACGATTTCCGATAAAACGCTAAATAACAACAGAATACACTGTTCAAGTTAGTCACATGAGTTGTGAGGTAATTGGGTAATTGGACGTTAAGCAAAGCTAAACACCTTCTTCCCTTTGAACCATAAGTCAAGGCTCAAAGTAGTATTGCATTCTCTATCGTGATCTATGTCGTGAGCGAAAGCACATATTTCGACAGGCTCTATTTAGAATTGGTGATAGGAAGGGTAAGCCAGCTAGCATCCTTCCCGACGTGGAGAGTATTGTTGCCATCGAAAACTTTGGGATTGCGATCATCCTCGTGGTCATGAGAGAAATTACCCACGCCTTGCGTGTCATGACCCGCGATCTCTAGGACGAGGGTCTCTTGAGGCTCAAGCACAACATTAGTCGGCCAAACTTCAACATCGACCTCGTACTTCTGGTTCTCCTCCACAGGTTGCACATCGCTGCTATAGTAGTTGCGGTGGGGAATAAAGTCCTTGTGAAACTCGTTGTCGGCGTCCACCTTTCGAAGAGACACTCGCAGCCAGCCCTTTACTATGGGAACAGGATCTCCCATGGTGCCCGTGTAGAAGACCTCGTTGCCTTGGCGGTTCAGCTTGCGAAGCGTGACGAAAAGGTCAATATCTGATGGTACTGGTGACGTGGAGGATTTGCGAGAAGCCGACACTGTCAAATGGGCGACGATGTGGCCTGTGATCTCTAAAGTGGACGGAGTGGTGTATTTGAAGGTGATTGGCTCGCTGCACGAAACAATGTTAGTAATTCTAAGACCAAAAGAAAAAGGGGACAAGTCCGAGGAGACAAACCCTTTCAGTGCATCGTAGCCAATACTACCTAGCTCGTCAGATGGCTTTGTATCAAGCTTACTGTCAGGCTTGAGGAAGAACTTGGTGTATTCAGTTCCGGGCAACGGCCAGTCTACCTCGTCTCGTTTTGGGAAACCTCGCTCACGCTCCGGGTCGTCGACGCCAGCCTCACCTTTGCGTAGAGTAAGTCTAACACGAGGCTGCTTTCCGGTCTTCCAGCCGTCTTTGTCATTGTCTTTCAGGAAGGCGTTGAAAAATGACAGCTGCAACTCAGCCGACTCGGGATAGTAAAATGGGAGATCGTGTCTCCCAACGATGAAATGGAGGAACTTATACTGGGAGCTGGCACGCATCCAGCCGAGCACATTACCGCGTAGGTGAAGGAGAATCCCACCCTAAGAGTCACCATTAGACACCAGTATGGTAGCTAGGAGAGTAAGTTTAATGCTTACCCAGTTAGCAATGCTAAGGAGAGGCGTCTGAATAGATGCAATATCAAAGTCCCTTGTCTTGTAATAGTCCTCGTCACGGTATTTGTGCACTGCTGTGTCTACTGTCTGGTTTTGCCGATTCTTCAAGAGAGTCTCTTCGTCTAGATCTCCCTCGAGAGTATCGTCACCCCATTGCCGAGCAGCTCGACCCGGTTTACCATACTGATTGGTATCAACAGCGTTGGTCCACCAGAATTCTGATTGAAGTGTTAGCAAGCGGACATACCTCGTGTTGAACAGACTTACTGATGAACCGATCTGAAAGAATGCCTCCATGGCGCACTCTATCGCGATAATAGTCGCTCATCCCCTCCCAAGGAATGATAGCGGCTAACCCTTTCGGCTTGCGTGCCGCTACTCGCCACTGGGTGCCAGCGAAGTAACTGATGCCGAGGAGGCCAACCTTGCCCGAAGACCACTCTTGCTCGGCCGCCCACTCAACGACATCAAAGAATGCCTCGCTAGTGCCACGGGACATAGTATCAAGTAGACCGGGACTTTGGCCGGCGCCTCTCTCATCGACCCTGACAACGATGTATCCCTTACCAGTCCAGAAGGCCGGGTCAGGTGTCTCCCAAGCAGCATGTGCAGACTTCATGTCCGGGTTCACTTGCTCCCAGCTTTTCTTGAAGAAAATACCATAAGGCACATCCTTGCCATCTGTTCAAGGGGAGTCAGCAATCAGATCATGACTTGAGTGCGCTCCCCGATTCACGTACATGGGCCGTAGGTGGCAACAACCGGATACTTATTGCCTCCATACGGAGCGGCATCATTGGGGAGGAAGACGTTGCACCGCAGCAAACCCGTTTCATATGTCTTGAGTGGGATGTCTACATTCTTCAGGAAAATGTAGGGAAAGTTATCCCTGTCAACCTCGAGGAACTTATTTTCGGCCATTGTGTTTTCAGGACAAATATAATCACTGACTGAGTATGGAGTGCCATAAGACGAAATTGACTAGAGTTGACTGCTCAATGTGGTATTCTTATGTCTCCAAAACCATCTTTACCCAGCCTAGTATGGCCTGCTTGGTGGTATTCTCACAAGGGTGACCCGCCCATCGGCTCGGGACCACACCACCCGAGCTCTCCGAAACAGCAACGCCTGTGTGAATATTTCAAGCTTGTCATATTGGTACAGATCGTGAATTATCTAGCCGGTCAAGGTGTAATGACTACCTGGAACCACAATTTCAACACAAATCTTTGGCATCATCAGCATCCACTTGCATTTCACAAATCACTGTCGTCGAACCAATATGGCGACTGAAACAAGGACGACGGCGAGCACTCGCCAGACTAACGCACTTCAACTGGAAGCATCGACATCGGAGGTGTTGACCGAATATCAGATCCATCACTCGTCGGCCTCAGCTCGCCAACGAAATGGGGAACCCGGCATCGTCATCGTCGCTGGTAACATTCCACGCGAAGCGCAACCAGCTGATTTCGACGCCACCTTGGCTTCTCATCCTCTAGTCCCGTATCCCGTTTCCAATCCTCATGGCTGGTCCGGCAATCACAGAAACGTACCGGATTACCGACCTGTGAATCGGCACCTTGACCCGGAGCAACGGCGCCAAAAGCCCTTGTTCACTTATGTTGGGGGCATCATGGTTGGGGGATGCTGCATCATGGCGGTAGGTCATGTTCACAGATATGATCCAGAAGCTATCAAGGAAAAACCGGCTGCTAACCTTGTCCAGAATTGGGCGCAGTTGTGGAGAGCCACAGCGGGTAGATTCACGGATGTTGGTCTTTCGAAAGTCGGTGGCGAATGGTAGAGGTGGCTCAGGGACCAGAGGCATGAGCCGTTGCATGTACTATAGAAGCCAATATTGTATCCAAAGTCACCCCACGCCCCCATGACACGGACCTTAAGGACTCAAGAAGCCACTGTATCTGGAACCACAATATTGTACGCAAGAAACTCATCGGTATTTTGGACGTGAATCGCAAGGTACTTCATAGGATACGAACTGAGCTACTGTTCTACTTAGACATTGCATGTGAATTAAGTTCTTAATGTCTATGAGAGGCGGGCATGAAGAGTGGGATATTAGTCTAACACAAAAAAGCGGTGGCCACGGGGAAATATAATTAACTCCAAGATCCCAACTGGTATTGACTGTTACACATATTGACCAATTCCCAGCACTCTCCTAGAAAGGTGTTCGGGCCAACATCATCTTCATCTCCAGCAGCACCGGCGGCAAACATGGTCGCCATGAAGTGATCATCGGTTCCATGGGCCTCCTTGTATCGAGGGTGCTTCATGAGCTTGGTAACTGCTCGCCGCAGAGCAGGGCCAGTATTATTCGTGATTGTATCTTCAACGGCTTGGCGGAACTCCATGGCGAAGTCACCCGGAGGAACAGGTTGGGCAAAGTTGTCCTTGAAGCGAATCATCCACTGCCAGTGATTGCGATACAGATTATGGACCGAACCCCCGCTCCCGATAATGAGCGTGTCCTCATATCGTAGGGGACGCAACGCCGCTCCAATCTTGACATGCATGTGCGGATCGTATCGGGCATTCATGGAGACGATGGTGGTAGGCAGAGGAAGGCAGTTTGGAAACATGCGAATAATGATGAGAAAGGTATCGTGAATCCAGTCAAACTTGCGATTGGCCTGCGCATTGATACCGGCAGCTTGAAGCATGTCGATGACGCGCTGGCCACCTTCGAGATCTGATACCATCTTGTATGGCATATAGCGGGCTTCAGTCACGCTGCCGACGGGGTCCTTTTGCGCGTTCGGGTTCATGCTGACTTCTACTGTATCATTTGGGGCATCCCAGTGAGCTCCCTACGTAAAATTCCAAGATGGTCAGTTATGTGTAGGTACAGCTAGACCCAGATTTGAAGGCACCGGTAGGGGGAGAGATTCAAACGAACCATCATGACGATTCTCTTGACACCTCGCCTCAGGGCTTCATTGCCAATGCCTTCCCAGATCTTTGCTGGCTCCGACTCTTCACCCAGCATCATAGTTGAGCCATGGGCAAATAGAAACACGGGAGTTGGAGCCAAAAGAATATGGTGAGCCCTGTTCATGTCCGACTGTGATGAATGATCGACATATTTACCTTTCTGTGTTGGTAAACTTCCCATCTTGGCCGAAGTTTGCAATTCAATGAGATCAAGACACACGTCGCGAGTACTCAGTCTTAGAGGATGGTGTTTTATTGTAGCGAAGCCCCGAACCATCCGCACAAGCCTTCCGGCTAGACCAGGTACTCATGGAAAGCCAAACAAGCTCATTCACACTGGGCCGGCCCATCGCTGTGGAGCCGAGCCGAGCGTGGTTGTTCTCCGCGGAAGCTCGGTCGTAGAATGCGAATTTGAGCTCACCAGACAAAGTGCATATCAAAAACCATCGGAGAGCTGCCCTGGAACGTGAGTCTCTTCACAGTTTTCTTTCAAGGTCATCACCGGACTTGACTGTCATGAGTTCTGCATCCCCCACCCACACGTATCGCACCGTCAGCGCGGCATGGACCGAAGGCCGGCTGGAGAACGTGCTGCAGCGGCAAAAGGAGCTAGCTGCTCTGCACAGCAGTGTCAAGAAATCATCTAGTCGCTTGATCAACGCTCTCAATCAAGGTGAGTTTGACTCAATCCGACCCATGGGCTGGCCGGCCAAGTAGAAGCATAGTTGATACCCTGCCAGATTTACACACTACTGACGAGAGCGCCACTGAAGAACTTCAGTTGACGCTTGACTCGATCAGACATCTCTACGACGGCCTCAACTTCCCAGCCAGCCTCGCAAACGAGCGATCGATCAAACAAGGCGCTAGTCTAGTAGACAACCTGGTGCCACTAGGGCCAACACTCATTGACCCAGCCCCTCATGCCCCAGTTGCCAGCACACTCATCCCGCTAGCAGCGGCTGTGGCAGCTGGAAGTACGGTAGTCGCATTGGCGCATTCATCGGTTCCAGCGGTTAACGATGTGTTGCGACAAGTGCTTAGAGAGGGCATCGATATTGAAGCCGTTGGCCTCACCGACAACGACTCTGCTAACACGCGCCAGCAACTCGGTCTGAAGCCGTGGGGCGTCGCAGTGCTGCAAAACGTACGCGAGCACGCTAGGATAGCGAAGCTTGTCTCTCAAGCGAACCCGCTGGTGCGCAGCCTCTCACCGCCATCAGGCATTTGCGCCGTCTTCATCGACCGCAGTGTTCAAGATATCGCGGCTGCGGCAAGCCATCTCCACCATTCTGTCCTCACCACTCCACGGCATCATCCTTTGCGACTCCCCAGGCTTTGCTTTGTTGACGAAGCAATCATTGGTGACTTGGAGGCACTTTTGCTTAGCGCTGGTTCGGGGTCCATTGAACCGCTACAATATGATGACGACGACGACAAGACCCAGGCCTTGTATAAGCAGCTCAAGTCTGTATTTCCCTCGCTGTCTAAAAAGACTTCCATTGGCACATCCCTCTCGCTTTCCCCGGTGGTAGCCTTAAAGCGGTCCGAGTATGTGCATTGTCAAACATCCTAATGATCGTGCTCTGACCTGAGGCTCTGTCAATTTAGTCCCATCACTGCCGAAGCTATCCGCCTAGTTGCTCAGTCGATCGTAGATTGCCACAGCGGAATACTTTTAATTCCCACTCGAAGCCTCGATCATGGCATAGACCTATTAAACAAGGTGTAAGTGTGCTAAGAAAATCCCGTCCCGCATAACAGACACGGCAGCTAATCCCGACGCCACAGAAATGACAAGATGCCTTCCCAAGCGACCTATGTCTTTGGAGAGTCCAAGCCAAGTTTCTACGTTGCCGCATTCAGCAATACTGTCCAAGTCTTCATCAATGCTATTCCACCATGTTCACTTAGTATGCATCAACCTCCGAATCATCTTAATAACCATGACTAACCACATCCTCAAACAATAGTCGCTGTTGCGCCTAATTCGGCCTCCGTATCCAACCGCGTCCTGTACTCGAGGGAAGACTTTTCAGTCAACAAGCCTGTTAGCCAGGTCTCCCTCAGGTCTGCGACGGCGGTTAAGATCGACTCCAAGCCAGTGTGGTCTTTGACGTCGCATACCTTACGTTTGGGGAAGATCAAGCAGCCTAAGGGAGGAAGACTCAGTTATTTCGAGCGTGGCCTAATTCTTGGATTGGCTTTAAGTCTCGTGGCCATCTCGGGATTATCTGTGGGTGTTCATCGTGCTGGCCAAGTGTATTTCAGGCGTACATGAGAACTGCTGTAGCTTGTAGACACAAAAGACTCAACTTCAACAACTAAGATCGATCGTCATACAATATACAATGAGAAAATGCACCTACATAAGACCACGTTTCGGGATGGATTAGGACAAGGTACTCCTCCGAGTGTTAAAGAGGGGGTCTTGTCCCCCGTAGACAAGCCATAATTATCTTCAAGATCATCCGTAAACACCCTGTCATAGCGCTCCTATCTCAAAAACAGATTTTCTCATTGGTCGTCTGGGTACTAATGTAGAGTACTTCGGCGGTCTCGGCATCACAGCTGGTATCAACATGAGGTCACAACTCACCTTCCCGAAGACTTTATGAGCCAAGCCCATTTACGGCACTCCGCAATGTGCTAATCGTTGCGACAACGAGCTGGCATGAGGAAATTGGTCCCAATGCGAACAACAGCCTCAGGCATGTAGCCTCGGCCACGCGTTGTGCTCGTGGTTGTGGAGCCGTGTGGACAAGCCGATCGGCAGGGCGCTACACATCACAGCACAGGGTCCTTGTTAGCGGTTAGATCAACGCGTCTAATGATATCAATACTTAAGTAGAGGTACCAGCTGGCGTATAGACAAGCAAGTAAGTATCAACATAGATCATTAGCCATGGGTCTCGCATCTCAAACCCCTCTCCGCCGCGTGGTTACACACCACAAAGGCACCAAGTCAGCTGTCCTCATCGACGACGAGCTCCGGCCATTTCCAGGCTTCGGTAGCAATGCCATAACTGTCTGGCAAAATGCCCAATATCCCGCCGAGCTGGTCAACCAAGATCCAACGGGATCCCCAGTCATCTATACCCGCGGATCCTTGATTCGAGTCGTGGATTTTCCTCCAAACTCTCAAGGGCACAACCACGGAACTGCGTCACTGGACTACGGTATCGTGTTTGACGGAGAGCTGGAATTGGTTCTCCAAGATGGCTCACGAACCATTGTTCGCGCTGGGGATATCGTCGTTCAACAAGCTGTAAGTACAGCACAGGGAAGAACCATCCTAAGTGTTGTGATGCTGACGAAAATATCTACATTAGACTATCCATCAGTGGAACAACTTGACTGACAAGCACGCGCGTGTCGTCTTTTCTCTTATTCCTTCTCAGAAAAAGACGGTGGACGACGTGGGTGTAAAAGATGAGGGAGTGCCAGAGGAATATCTTCCTCATGATCGATAGAACAGCTTTGTAGTATTGATTACATAGCCTACATCCTAGAAGCATTTGTGAATGTTTTGAGCTTCCAGCGAACCTTTCTTGTGAATTAGACCTTTGTATAGTGGCCCAAAGAATGGCGTAGAAAAGAATATTGAGCACATCACGTCATGTGAGGCCGTGCTATCTTGAACGTGACCGTTGCTTGGTTTACTATTATTCAGGGGCTTGGATATTGGGTCTATATAATCTTTTCGGCTCCGGGATAATCTTTACACTCTGTTTCACTTTAATTCCTCTAGGTGCGTGCCACGCACATTTTGATAATCACTAGCGTATTTGTTGTCCGCTCCATCGAGAGCGAGTTTCCGTTGGCACAGAACCTCCCCCCTCCCCCCCAAAAAAACAGATTCAACTGAATCACGAATTGAGAGGCTACTGAAGGCACAGCCACGTAAATTTGAGGTTTATTGGCACCCACGTCTTCGTTAACAACTACTTCCCGCACTATATTCACTGAAAAATGAAATCGTGATATCTTGAAAAGCCATGGTTGTCAAATTTTGAGGCTCTTTTCTAAGAGTTATTCTCAATGACGCGAGTAACAAGATCACTACATAACTTAGTCAGTACGCCGCCGTACAACTTGAGGAGCCACTGATAACTTACGTGTCCATGTATGCTCGAACGGTAACAATCTTGCCTGCATCATTGAAACCAAGAACCCAAGTGTATTCATTAGGGAATGGCTTTCCGTCTTTGGTCTTGGTGTTGACGGCCTTCAGCTCTACGGCAGCTTGATTGCCATCGACGATGATGTTCTGCGCGACAAGATACAGGGGTCCATCCCAAGTAGAGGATAGCGCTTTCGTTCCCTCGTGGAACGCAGCAGCAGACTTGTAGTGGCCTGAGATCTTGCAAAAGGTGCCTATCCTCATGTCAATTGATGCCGTTTCACTCGTCTAACGATGGCAGCGTTTACCCTTGACCGTCCAGTCCACGTTAGGATCTACATGAGGCCAGAATGATGCCATGTCGCCTCGCGCAGGGCCTTCAAAGACAGTTCGAACATGGTCGTGGGTAACCATTTTGAGGATTGAGGGCGATTGTGTAAGCTAGGTCAATATCGGTAAGCGTGAAGTAATATGCGTAGTAAGACTGGTAGAAGGTGCGCATGAAGGGCTCTCAAGTATGGAAAGAAATACAAGCTGCTGTGGTAGACCCCGGCTCATTTCATTTGTGTCTTGAATTCGGTGTAATTGTGGCCCGGAAACACTGGTTTCGGGTCGATGGAAACTTGACGGTGTGGAGAAGCCGGCCATGTAGTTTGCTAGCTGACCATGCAGCCGGTGGGGCCGAACCAACATCCCCCCCCCCCCCGTGAAGACCGTCTTTGATGTTAGCATCATCTAGCGGAGCAATAGTGAGGCTAAGATTCCGCAATATTGAGCTACTCCCATTTAGTTGCTCTCGAGACTGGCTCACTGTTTCGTGGCCTAAAGTGTGTGGTATTACATTCGGCGCCTGACGTACTGGCTTATTACCTATTATAACGTGTGCCTCTCCCCCTTTAGCTTGGCGTTCTTCAAAACCGAAGGTCGTTTTTACTTTTCCGAGTAGTTTGCAAAATTTTCAAAGCCATCTTTTCTACACCCAACATGCCTCTTAAAATCATTATCGTTGGTGCTGGTCTCGGTGGTCTTGGCAGTGCTATCGCTTTGACTCGTGCCGGCCATGACGTTGAGGTACGTAGGCCATTGTTTCCGATAAAGAGGACGAAAAAGCCAATTCATTAGGTCTTCGAGCAATCTTCGTTCTTAAACGAGGTTGGAGCTGCGATCCATATCCCTCCCAATGCCACCAGAGTCCTCAAACACTGGGGTTGCGATTTTGAGGATCTGCAGGCCACCTTTTGCAACGCCATCAAGGTTTACGACAAGACAGGAAAGCTCATCTTCATCCCTGCGGTAAGCACGCACCAAGTCTGGCCTTGTATAAGTCACCAACTTACGCTAATTCATCTCCTCAGAGCACCAAAGAACTGCATGAAAAACTCGATACTCGAGATGCTTGGCTTCTCTCGCATCGCGTCGACTTACACAACACTCTGAGGAAGCTAGCAGCAGACGAAAAGTACGGAAAGAATCTCAAGATCAACCTTTCTAGCCGCGTCATATCTGCGGTAAGTCACAATGTCCATCCTTCCAAAATCCACTCTTGTTGTTGACGTCATCGCCGCGTTGTAAGTGATACCTGGCTAACAGTCCGTCTTGGTTTAAGGATGCGGATGCCGCTGAAATTGTTCTGGAGGACGGTACCAAACACCGAGCCGATCTACTAATTGGGGCAGACGGGGTGCATGTGAGTAGCAAACCCGTTGAGCCGGGAAACATTCATGCTGAGACTAGTTGCAGTCCAAAGTCGTCGCCGCCGTGACTCAAAAGACGCCAGAACGGAAGAGCACAGGGCAAAATACGTTCCGGTTCTTGGTCCCTATGGAGAAGATTCAGGCCAATCCGCTCACGGGTCCCTTGTTCGCTAAGCTTGGCATCGCTTGCCAGCACGTCTTTGTCACATACGATCGTCGTCTCGTTGTTTATCCTTGTCGACGCGGCAAACTGCTCAATATTGTCGCTGTGCATCCAGCTAAAGACAGCGGACTCGACAATGAATCCTCATGGCTAGCTGGAGGCAAGATTGAAGATCTGATAGACAACTACAGCGAATTTTCGCCCGAACTCATCGAAATGTGCAATCTGGCGGAAGATCTGAAGCTCTGGAGCTTAGCAACAAGAGATCCCCCTGAGAAGTTCTACAAGGGCAGGACTGTGTTGGTAGGCGACGCTGCTCACCCCATGCTTCCTCGTAAGTCCTCCCTTACCGAGAGTGTTACACGCTCTAACAGCAATAGATCAAGGACAAGGTGGTGCACAGTCCTTTGAGGACTGTGCAGCTCTTGGAACTTTGTTCCCTGCCGATACAACTGTAGATCAGATTCCAAGGAGACTTGAGTTGTACAACAAGCTCCGTTATCACCGAGCAGTAACCATCATGTTCATGTCCAAAATCAATGACGAGAGGCGAGGAGAGATGATGGAAGACCTCCGCAAGTTTGTGCCTGATGCGCAACTTCCGAACAGCATGTTTGAATACTCGTGGGATTCATACGTTGTTCGCGATGCTCAGGAGCTCCTGAAAACTGAAACCAAAGCTTGAAGCACAACACAAGCGGTTGGCCTATCATGGGTGGCGGGCTAGTATAGTTGGTACAAGGGCAGAGTTTGTGTCGCTTTCTCGGACTCTGAAAATGTGTTTTTGTTTTTCGAATTGGCTTGGCGGGTGCTCTACTCTTCTCAGTATCGAAATCTCTATAGCTTTTTCTTAGCGAACCGCATTCAAATAGTTTCTTGCCCTTGCACTTGTGAGCGCGAAAAGAGGATATTTAAAGGTAATATGATATGAGAAGGATCTCGTGATAAAGTCGTGGCATAGGTCAATATGAGAAACGGTCTTGGAGTTGTGTGTCTGCATTTTACAGAGAGGTATAGAGAGCAATCGTAAAACAGTTGGCTTCATCAACATACGAAGGCCGGATGAAGGGATTTAATTTGAAGTATGAACGATGCAAAAGAACACAAACATGTCTGACAAGAGTAAAGTTTTGTACGAGAGTCTTCCCAGACCGTGGTACGCAAGGGTACGCTCGAACGACCTCGTTCAAAATGCTGTAATAGGGCAAATTTCCTCCCGCAATTTGCGCCTCCGTAAACAAAATCCAGTCCATTGCACTACTGGTAGGCTACCTTCGTATTCTCTTCATATCACAACCGAAGTCCCTGCATTGGAGACTCGGCACAGTCGGTACCCCACACGGATGTCTCCCTATATCCGGCTTTCCGGGGACCCGGAGGTGGCACTGCGAGTTACTGGGCCTCGACCGCCGGCTTGCTTACCTGAGCATTTGATCCATGCTCCGAGATGGGTGCATCAAGAAGGCCCATAAGCTGTCTGATGTTATGCATCACAGCTCGTGTATATAACTCAGTTTATATGCCTGGTTTGGTGCGTCAATTGTTCGCTATTTCATAAGTCAATACGCTAAGCAAGATGCCAACCATCAAAACGACGACCATGACACGTCAAGTAGACGAAACCTTTTCATCTTCCAACCTAAAGAGGGACGAGTTCACAGAGTCTGATCATTCCGATATTCCGCTTGAAAAAGAGGAATGGCCTGTCATTATCATCGGCTCGAGCATGGTTGGCAAAACCCTGGGCCTCCTGCTTGGTTATCATGGGTATGAGCTCTCAAGCCACCTTAAATGCGGGAACACAGTTAATCATGAGCCAGTGTCAAGTCGATGTCGTTTGATCGCCATGCCGCTGCTGGGACCCATCCTCGGGCGGCTGGCTTGAACTTCAGGACAAGCGAGATCCTTCGTCAGCTAGGACTTGAGGACTTTACATTGGAGCAAAGTGCGCGTGAATTTGATCTCAACGCCGGCATGCTTCTAGTTGAGAAGCTCGTGGGCGGTAAAGTCTTGAAGCATCTCCAAGAGCATGACCCAGAAAAGGTCAATGACATCACGCCCTCCAGCTGGGTGTGGATTTCTCAACGCATGTTCGAACCCATCCTCGGCGCTCACTCGGACAAGTACGACAGTGTGCAACTGCACGGACACGAAGTTCTACTTTACGAAGAGCTCGAGGATGGAGTGGTGGTTGTGGTCAAGAACCTAGATTCGGGTATTATTAGAAAGTACAAGGCGCAATATGTGGTCGCCTGCGATGGAAACCGAAGCCCAACCCGCCAGAAAGAAGGCATCTCTTGGGATGGACCAGGTGTCCTCAGGAACAGCCTTAGCGTCAGCTTCAAGTCTGACCTCAGCCCTTTCATTGGCAAGAGAATGGTTCATGGCGTCATCTATGTGGCAAACGAGAAGATTGGTGGCGGCTTTCGTCTCGAAAACGAAGGAAAGGAGGGGCTTCTCATGGTGAACAACGTGGGACCCAAGGCCGACTTTGCACCCGGATCCGTTACTTTGCAAGAGGCTAGAGAATATTTTTATGCGTGTTCCGGCCTTGCTCCGGATCAAGTGTCGCTTGACATTCAGTCCATGAACTTTTGGACGATGGCGGCATATACAGCCGGCATCTTTGCCAGCAAAGGTGGGCGTGTCTTCCTTGCTGGAGATGCTGCTCATACCATGCCACCGACTGGAGGTTTGGGAGGAAACACTGGGATTGCAATATGCTGTCTGTTTGATATCGAATGCCGCAGGACTCGAACTGACTTATTTGTGATAGGACGCTCACAACATCGCATGGAAGCTTGCGTACGTCTTATCCGGCAAGGCGTCTTCCTCCCTGTTAGACACTTATAGCACTGAAAGGCAGCCGATAGATGAGTTCACCGTCCTGGAAGCCTACAACCGATTCCAAAACCGAGTTGTGATTCAACAACCACCTGCCCCCGAAGCTCCCGATATCGCCATAGAACTGGGATACAGATATCCCCGGGGCGCCTTTCTGCCGGAGCATCATTACGAGGTTCCGAAAAAGCTCTACGACGATCCATCTCTCCCGACAGCGGTGCCAGGATCCAGGTTTCCGCATGCTTTTCTTGAGGACACTTCGAGTCCCAATAAACGCATCTCGACAATTGATCTCGTGAAGAAGAATTTCGTGCTCATCACCATCGAGCCAGATTCCCCCTGGGGCCTAGCTGCTGGTCAAGCCCCCATCGAGTTGGATGTACACGCTCTGCACGCGAAGTCTAGTCCGTACAGGGACTCAAAGGGCTTGGTTGAAAGGAAGTGTCGCCTCAATATTGGTGAAGCGATTCTTGTACGACCTGATGGTTTCATTGCTTGGCGAGGCGAGAGGTCCGACGATGGCCATGTCGCACAATTAAATGGTGCATTGGAGGCCATTTTGAAGAAAAGATTTTAGGGTTCAAGTCACAGCCAAGTAGTCAGATCAAATCCGAGAGTTGAATACTAGGACCTAATCGATAGGGGCTTAACAATAAGGCTCCAAGGCAACGCTTCACCCAGTAGTGTTGCATCTAGTGGATGGAAATTATCATGTGTGCGAGAAGCTCTTGATATTCTTCCTATCTAGTGAGGGTCTTTGGATCAGTCTTATAGACGATGAGACTGACGATGACCTCGGATGACCTCGGACAGCCGAGAGGCTCCGGATCCGTCGGAGTCTTTGGCTTCAACTAGCTATTGATAAAATCAAGGAAAAGCTAGGCCTAGGGATAAGCTGATGACGAGGCCGGTGACGAGGCAAGTGGCGATGGATGCCTATGATGACAGAAGGAAAGCTTCACTTCCGTCACAACTGCAGAAATCTGATATCCCGATATATGTGACAAGTAGTCCTATCTAAGTGGCCAATCTTGGTGAAGCCAATTTGGTCATTTGTCTCCGTCACATGGCCAAATTCTAGAGCTGGAATGGACGCACATATCATACCCTTTTTATCAAGTCGTATGCTGACGCTGACCACATCTCTAGGGGCGTATTAGTGGTCTGCACAAGCACCTCCCAACCTAGACAGAGTATCTACCAAGACTGCTGGCCGAAAGGATAGATCATTCCGCTGCCAACAATTTTAATGCAACCAACACTATCCCAGGAAAGTTCCCGGAATAGCATCGATTGGTTGACATATGCAGACTACAATACCAAGATTAGCAGTGTTTTCGAGTTAGAGCGGCTTTAGATGTAGGTCTTTCAACGTCTAGCTTCATTCCACCCTTGTGTCTACAACTTTCACTACCTCACTTGCTCTCATATCTATTCCAGCTTTTTTCTGAAGCAAAGATTTTAATATATTGGTGATAATTTACCTCTTGAATACAATTTAGTTCACCACGGGATCCAATAATGGAACCACGAGATGGCTATCTAGACTCGCCCCAAAGTGAACAGTATGACGACCTTTGTTCTTATGCGAAGCGCCAAACATGGCGGGAAATTCCATAAAGCTCATGTAATGACCAGATACCTTGAGAGTTAAGTACTCTCCCTCATCGAAAATGATTCCGCTAGGCCAAATAGGGACCTCGAGTTTGGTGACAGTGCCAGCTGGAATCGCCTTTGTGGTGGTGTTGGTATACTCTGGCCACTCGCCAGTAAATTTAGCAGACTCTGGGACAACCTTGGTTGCAGCGTGACTTCCTCGAAGACTGCCAGTAGGCCCTAGATACTTGAGGAAGCATGAGTCCGCAGCCTCGGAATGGTGCTTCAGCGGAGGAATCTGCTCGTTAAGCGGCACATTCATGTTCACCAGTGGCTTCCCAGAAGCATCGGCCTTTCCCAACTGCACAAAGACGTCAATTTCGTCTTCGCTCTTGTTCTCAATGTTGAGGACAAGCCAGGAATATCCTAGCAGCCACGTCTTCTTCGTCAACCTATACTTGAAGTTGAGCTCTTCGCCACCGGCAAGTGGCCCTTTGGGCACAAACTCGGCATCATACGAAGCAGACCCAGCTTGGCTAGTCGGGCTTAACACAAGCTTTTCGTCGGCAGATAGGTAGAGCTTGGTGTGCTTTGTTTGCGGAAGGGGGAACGATTCGAGTGGAAGGTGAACAACAGGAGGCTATAGCAGGCAAGTTAGCTTCCTCGTTCTCGTGTCACTTTGAAACGAGGGATAATTCATTAGCTCTTACCTTGTTAAAGCCGAGAATTGAGATTCGAATCCGAGGCGTGCTTAACCAGTCATTATGCTTTCCTTTCAGATAGAAGTCGAAAAATTTGGTCAAGTCGTCTGTGTTTGCTGGGTCATACAAATCTGACCACTCCTGCTTGGGGTGGATTCGCAGCCTATCAAAATTAGTAGGCTGATCATTTGACCGGAATCACAGATAGCTGGTTTTACAAGACAAAACGCAGCCCGAGACTCACCACTTATCCTTGGAATCCAAAGAGTGGTAGGCGCGGATTGATCCGGTTGTGTGGAGGGAGCTGGAGTAACTTGCGAGGATATAGGCCGGGACCTTGATATTCTCGAGCTTGGCCCGCTTATCCTCCCAATAGTCGTTAAACAGCGGGTACTTATCCAACATATCAACAGCGGCCTCACTGCCGTTTCGGCCAACCATAGTAGTCTGGAGAAATCCCCACATGGTGTCGTATGGGTATGGGATACCGCCACGACAGAGAGTATCCCGGTAGAAGTCAGCAGCACCCTCCCACGGAGCAATGGCGGCAAGTGATGGAGGCCGCTGAGCGGCGATGTGCCATTGGACCATGGCAAGCCAACTATTACCTGCGAGGGCAACCTTTCCAGTGCACCAGTCCAGCTTGGCGATGTGCTCGATAGCATCATAGCCGTCTTTGCCATCTTGGGCCCCGAGCCATCTATTCTTAATCAGTCTTGCTTGTCTTTTACGCTCGAAAATCATGTTTCGACACTCACGGAACGATGCCCTCCGAATCCCAAGAGCCTCTCAAGTCTGCGTTGATAATGGCATAGCCTCTAGCAGACCAAAGGGCGGGATCAAGACCCTCAAACTTTTCATAGCCACTGACGCGGTTTTGCGGAACACCAAATCTTCCAGGGAGCATATCAAGCGAGTTGGGACCTGCCAGTGTCCATGTTAGCAACCTATTACGCGAGATGACACGAGGGATGGGATGGGCCTGATATTAGAGGAGCTTACCATTGCCCGTCTTTCCATATGGACTCCAAATCAGGATCGCAGGGACCTTCTCATTGGTCTTGGGGCGGAAAACATCAGCATACAGTTTAACGCCATCGCGCATAGGCAAAGTGATGTCCTTTTCAAAGATGGTGTCGACTTCAAATGCTTTGTGCTCGGGACTGAGGCGGTGACCCTGGGATAGCTCTTTGATGGAAGGGTTGAAAGGAGCGTAGGGCAGGCTACCCTTGTCTCCAGGAGTGATGGTCGAACCCAGGACAACATCGACGTTTCCGATGCGGAGAGACATTGTAGCGTGAGATTTGTATGTAAACTACCGATGGCTGTGAATTCACGATGACTCAAAGAACAAGGAGCTGAAAATCCATCTCTTATTAGCATGTGTCGGTCACCATGGAGTTCACAATCCCAGCTTTACCTAGCTCCGGGATAAGTCCCGTAGGGCCGCGGAAGTTGGCCTAACTCATCAATACGTACTCCATACTCCGTAATCTCCGTGCCGCAGCTCGGTATCCCCACAGAGTCGGGTCGGCTCCACCGCGACCACGCAAGGAAATACGGGTGCTCGGATAGGCGTGGGAACCATCAAACCAAATCGAGCAAAGGCTAGCAAGAATGTTAGCAACGGGGTAGCAATGTTGGGGCAATGGGCGGTAGCACCCGGTGTCAATGAACCGCTGTGGAAAAAAACCACCGGATGATGTCGAATGGAGGACAACAGACGGCCCATATTCCAACCCCTCAGACAGCGACTGAGATCATAGTATCAAATTGTCGGGCCTTGAAAATAATTGCGGCTAGGATATTATGAACAGACTCAGTCGGGCGATCTTCATCGATCTCGAACGGTGGAAACATTGGCTTTGAAATATTTTAAAACCCCGTGAGGAAATCTGTATGTTTGCCATCGTGCCAGCAACTCGCCCTCGAATGAGCAGACAGCTGCTAGAATGGTTCGTCCATCTAGGTGAGCAACCATAGAAGATCTGAGCAGTGGTTATCCTTTTTTGGCAGAACGCCACGAATATTATTTGAGGATAGATACGTGTCTTTTGTGATTGATGGGCGTTGATATGGACAAAATTTACATTCTAGTCTCGCTCCTGGCCAAAGAGTTCTTGGATAGATTCTGGAACGAATGAGGCAAACATGGCCCTTCTAAATACCATTGAAGAATAGAATGTCAGTCATGCAGATATATCGCCTATGCCAATTATGATAGCCGACAACATGTTAACACAATCACCCAACCCCAGCATATAAAGACACGCGAGTCTATATCTCAGACGTCTGAATGCGGAGAGGGCCCCGTTCAAGTGCTGACAATCTCTCATCTATGTCTACTAAGCATGCACTCGCTTCTCCTGTTGCTCCTTTGGCCCATCCAGCGGTGCATCGACTTCCATGGTGAAATCTCTCTTGGGATCATTAATAAAGAAGGAAGCTGTCGAGCAACCATTAGTTTCGTTTTCATCTAAGTAGATAGGGTGTGTTTATACTTACCGATGACAGCGATGGCGGACAAAGCAAGTCCGAAACCATAGAGAGGACGGAGCGATGTGATGTATGCTTGGCGTAGACCATGAACGCCAGCCTGGATAATCTCAGGAGTGATACCTTCAATCGCGGCAAAGGCATTGTCGTCGTGGTTGTTCAAGGCCTGAATAAACGGACCAAGGGACTCCGATGGCAGGCCAAGAGGAGTGACAGCTGAAGCAATATCCTTTGCAAGGTTCTTGCTTATCTGCGAGTTGAAAATGGCGTTGCCAATTGCGAAGCCGATTGCTGCACCGGCAGACCGGGCAGTAATAAGGGCACCACTACTAAGTGCGAGTAGTTCGGGCGGTGCGCTGAACTGGGCTGCCACCACAATGCAGGTCAAGCATCCACCAAAGCCGAGGCCGAGGAAGATGTTGAAGACCCATGTGTTTTTGTAATCGCCGAATCCGACGGACATCCAGCACGCTGTAGAAAGGTTAGAGAAAGCCCCAGATCCATTTGGCGAGTACTCTTACCATAAAAGATGACACATCCAACATACGAGATAACCAGGGGCCATCTCAGCTGTTTGCTCCAGGAGCAGTACACGGAGGCAACGATACTGCCAAGGACGGCTCCCATGAAGACGACGGAGAAATTCAAAGTAGTCAAAATCGGGTTTGACTCGAATAAAACGGAGATTTCTAGAGGCACATAGGTGTTGCCCACGAAAAATGCCATGCCTTCGGTGAAGATGAGTAGACATGCGATTGCAAAGTTCCGGTCGTTCGAAAAGAGACCATGGTGGAACAGGCCGTCCTTCTTAATGAAGCCTTCATACAGTGCCAAGCAGACTATGAGAGTGATGCCGACCAAAAATGGAGCGAGTACATGGGCATCCTTCCACGGGAAGGGGTTTTCAGACCAGGTCAGTCCAATGCAGAGGGCGGTGACGGCAACGGCAAGCGTAATGATGCCCACCCAGTCGAGCTTCTTGAGCTTCTCTCGCAGCGTCAAGTTGATCTGTTCAGCGCGCGGAGGCGGATTGTACAGGATCAGGATGACAAGAGCCGTAAGAGCGAAGATGCCCGTGTTGAAGTACCAAACGATGCGCCAGCCACTCGGGTTCGTCTTGGTGAGGGCACTGCCCATCAGGAGGCCGACGATGGCACCAAAGGCAAATATACCAGTGACACCGCCTTGGGCAGCAGGACGAAAACGACGAGGAAGGATCTCGGATGCTACAGCGAAAAGAAGCGGCTGCGCCGATGTAGAAATGCTCGCGAGAGCGTTGCCTGCCAGTGCCATATCGATGTCGGTGGCACGCGAGACAATAACGCTTCCCACAACAGCAAAGGCACATGAGATGACCAGAAACCATTTACGACCCCTGTTTTGCTTTAGTCAGCTTGATGTTTTTGGGGTGGACAAGTGGTAAGTCAAAGCCTTGAGTCAAAGCTTTGCGGTGGACTGCCGACAGTCCCCTGGATCTCCCTCGTGGAATATATAGGAAGCAGCTTCTTACCAATAGTCAGCGGCCTGTGACACAGGCGCACCCAGGGCAAGGTTCACAATGGGAACAGACTGCGATATCCACTGGACCTTTTGGGTACCACCAATGTCGGCGACCATAGTTCGGGCAAGCTATGCAAAGGTGAGTCAGCGAGGATGAAGATGAGGAAGCCCCAAGGAGCTGAGTTTTACCGTGACTTACTGAGCCAGATGATATGATGACCATCATTTCGGCGAAACCGACCGCGAGAATCGCCTATCTGGTGTCAATACCTGGTGCATGATTGCGAGCCGGACTTGTTACCAGATATACGGTGACACATGTAAAGGTGAGACCCTGGTAATTGGTCTCCTCGATCGTGTCATCTCTGTCATGAGGCACCGGCCGCTCCAGCCTTTCACATTGCTCAACGAAGCCCATATTGCTCTTCTCCGCGTGGGATGCCTCTGAAGCCATGTTATCAAAGATCCAAGGATAGTCTTGTCGTGGGAGACGCTTCTCATCCAGCGATTTCTTTGTTTTCCAATGCGGCAGAACAATGACTAGATGGGCCGCTTGGTGCTTTATGTGAACAATCGAGTAGATCTAGTACCAGTGTCCTGGTTCGTATTGCACCCACCGGCAAGGACATGCAAGGTTGCAAGAGCCGGTGGGGTAAGGGGAAAACGCGGGGAAGCTCTGAATCAAGTTAGCTGATCTGATAGTTACAAGACAAGCGTATACATGCCAGGCGCGATGTCATCTCCACCAAGGCCCCCTCTCATTCTAATAAGGTGTCTTCGGAAGAAGCGGAAAAGTCTGCATGGGGGGAGTTTACGTGCCGTATCAAGGAGTGCGCTGGACGGAACAATCCCGAGCACTCTGTCTTCGTCAGCTGGAGGACGAGTGTTAGCCCAGAAGGGCACAAGTGGTCAGTCTTAGTGTGAGAGATCGGTGTCCCGGAAGAGAACGACGACTAGGTGAACAATGACAGACCATAAGAGAGGGTCAGGCTCACTGGGGATGCTCACGCTGCCAACGGTCAAATGGCTTGAAATGATAGGGGAAAGTTGTTTCAACAACAAAGGAGCGGTTTCCCATGTTGCGTAGAACAACGGGCTATGGTTTCACACCTGACTCAGGCAGATTCAAAGCTGCTCGTGTCGCGGTCCTCGGCAGCTTTCGGGGCGTATGGGGATACAAGAACACCACTCTAGGGCCATGCCTCCTTCACTTTACCCCCACTTCATCAACGCCTTGGGATATGTCTCACGTTGGCTCGGAATGGACCAAGAAAATACTCGTCATTTGCCCAACAAAGACCAAATACAATGGTTAGAGAGTGTAGTTGAGTACCGATAGTGGCGTTTGAGGTACACGCACCCAAGAACAGACCACCTCTTTCCGTGTTCCGCCCGCGCTCACACTAGGTACTCTTGTCTCGCCCTCTTCCCAGATCCCTGTGGAGCCGCTCCACAATTTGGGTCAGCCGTTCATGGTCGCATCCTACCGGCCTGTCCATCTTATTCACAATGACGGCCATAGGCAGTCCTGCGCTACGGATCGCTAAAAAGCATCTCTGTCAACACGGAACAGGTGTAAATCACGCACACTTCACTACTTGCAAGAGCACTGTTTGAAGCACAAGACCATGGCTGAGGAGCTTAGCAAGGCCGGGTTTTCTGGCCGTGTTATCGATAGCAGCTCAGCGGACTTTGCTGCTGCATCTCATCGATTCTCTGCCATTTCTGAAGCCAGAGCACAATACATCGCATTCCCGAGGACTTCGGAAGACGTGTCCATCGCCATTGTCTACGCCACCCGGTTTGTCTTACCTCACAATTTTCCTTTGGGAATCGACTAACCGGCACATTATTACAGAGTGAAACTGAGGGTAGCCATCAAGTGTGGAGGACATCACGCTTCTGGTGCCAACAGCGTAGAAGATGGCCTCGTCATCGACCTCAGCGAGCTCAGATCTGTAGCACTCAACAACGACCGGAGTGAAGTTACCGTCGGCGGTGGGTGTCTTTGGGAAGGTGTCTATACCTTCTTGCGAAACGAGGGCTTGGCTTGCATTGGAGGAGGAGTGCACAATGTTGGTGTTGGTGGCCATGTCACCGGAGGTAAGTGAACAAGTCGGAAAGAAACCATGTCTCGACCACTTTTTGATCAACTCATGCTAACCCGTTACTCAATTAGGTGGCTATGGCCCGTTAACTCAGAAATACGGAATGGGTTAGTTTTTTCTACACTGTTTAAGTAGCCACAAAGTGTACTAAGTTGCACGCCAGCATGTGACAACCTCATCTCTGCCACCGTTGTTCTCGCCGATGGAAGGATTGTCACTGCTAGTGACACTGAAAACTCGGATCTCTTGTGGGGTATCAAAGGTAAGCCACGTGCCTTCCTTACGGAAAAGTTCTACAGTTCTGAAGCTGAATTTATGCCTCAGGAGGCTCCTCAAACTTTGGAGTAGTGGTGGAATTCGTGTTGAAGACTGTTCCCGACCCGGTACGTGCCTCAATGAAACAAGCCCTGTGGCAAGGGTGACATTATCAGAGTCTTCATCAACTGATACTCATCGTATTTATAGGGATCGTGGGTGTTTCGCTCGATTGCTCTGCCTTCTTCGGACCTTCCAACCATAACTCCACGATTTGTGGTAAGTGTGCAATGGGCCAGGTTCCAGTTGGGTAATTCTTACGTTATCTCAGGAATATTGCAATGCCAGCAAGGAGAAAAACGAAGATGTCGTCTTGGTCTTTCTGAACTTCGTCCGCGGTCCGCACAACACGGTGAGTTCGTACAAGATGTGCGGCTTTGTGGCATAGTTGAAGTACTTGACGCTGACGCTTTGCTAAAAATGTAGCCTCTTGTAATATTGAACTTCACCTTGTGTGGGTCGGGAGACCTGTTCTCGGGGCTGTTCGAGTTTTTTCTGGGAGGCTTGAGCCCTCTGTCTGATATAACCACAAGCTACCCTTCCTTAGTTGAGCTTAGCCACGCCCTTGACAGATTATTACTTGCTGGCCCCAGAAGAATTGCGACTGGAAGTGTCCCTGTCGTGGATATTTCTCCAAAGCTCGTTCATGAACTTTGGCAACGTTGGTTGGAATACACAGACTCCAACCTGGACGTTGTTAGTACCAAAGTCGTGTTCGAGCTGCACAGAACCATAAGACTTCGCGCGGTGAGTTAGATCCGTAGGAATATTCCATCTGTTCATTCTCTTGGCCTCATTGCTGCCTTTCCCCCCTTTCTGACGTTTGTACTTTTACTGTAGGAAGCCAGCTGTTTACGTATCACAGAGCCTGTGCACAATATGATTCTCATCAGCGAAGAGTAAGTGAGATCTATTTGTTAAGAGTAAGGGAGTCCGAAACTGACAAACTACATAAGGCATAACGAGGCAAAGAACGATGCTCTCGCTCTTAACTGGGTCCACGAAACGACTCAACTGACACGGCAACGCCAGACTCACGACTGGGGAACGGATTTTGGAGTTTGGGCAAATGCTAGTATGCGAAATGAGACTGCTGCGGACTGCTGGGGGCTGAACTACCCCCGCCTCCAAGTGCTTAAGGTAAGATTCATTTGCTGTTTGAGAGGCGGTTAATGCTAACAGAGTGTGCCTATGAATAGGCTAAGTATGACCCAACATCTGTATTCAACTGTTTTTTGCCAATTGAGCCTACTAAGTAACGTATGTAAATAAGAAGCACGCTGCGCTGCATTCGGTTCCTCAATAACCTGTCGTCATTTTCCCCGTGCTTTAATGCATCAATTCAGCCCGAAAGACCATTCTGCGGCCGGTCACGTGTCTGACAAGTTCTTGAGATGTGACGCGTCTCCCAAGGCACAACTATCGTTCGACATACTTCAAGACAAGCGTTCGCGGTTTTGAGGCTGCTGACGCCTATGAATTTTCCAAGGGTGTATGCCAATTGCTATCGAGAGAATACTTAATAAGGACTATATAGTAAGGGGCGAATGGGTGGGCCGGCGTAGGGTTAGAGGTAAAAGAAAAGAAAAATCCCCGATTTTTATAATACCAGACCAGATCAGATAGATAGACAGACAGATAGAAAGACAGATAGAAAGACAGATAGATAGATAGATAGATAGAAAGAGTCCCCTCTTTAAATTAAAATATCAGAGGTTATTTTAGAATTTAAGTTAAGATATAGTATATATAGAACTTAGTTATTTTTAAAGTATATTTAGAATAAATAAATCTACAGTAAATTAACAATAGTAATATATAAATTTAAAAATAAACTAGTAGATAGTATAAAATAGTATTTATATATTAAATTTTTTTTTTTTTTTTTTTTTTTTTTTAGCTTTACTTAATATTATCAGATAGATTAAAGCTATATAGTAATCTTAAATAGTAGGAATAGTATTTATATATTATAATAAATATATTTATTTTTACTATCTAAATATATATTGGAATATATATAAAAATATAAACTTTAAAACTTTAGCTAAATAGCTATTTATTATTTAAATATTATTATTTTTATTAATAAAATAAAAATAATAAAAAAAGCAGCTAATAATATCTATTATAAACTGGATATTATATAATTAAAATAAAAAATATTTTATAATATTAATTATAAACTAAATATATCCCTTAATAAGAAAACCTAATATTTAAATTTACTATATTTTTATTATATATATTATAGTTATTAAAACTTAAGTTTAAATTTTAAGCTGCTTTTTCTTTTATTTGCTAAAATTCTATCTAACCTTTTTAATTTAATTTAACCTTGATATATATACTGATAAATTCTATAATCTAACTTTTAGAATACTTTAAGATTTTTAATATCTATAATAACCTGTTTTTATCTGAATCTACCCTCTAGCTAGCACTCTAGCTTATTAGTATCTATTAAGAGATTAAAGTGCCCTAATATATATATACCCAGAAGGGGGACTAAAAGCTTAATAGTAAAAAAAAAATACTAATAATAAAATTAATCATACAGATTATATACCCAGTCTATTTAAAGGCTAATAGTTTACTTAGATAGACTATGGTTTCTAGTCTAACTATTTACCTTTTATAATACCTTAATAAGCTATAGTAATAGCTGTATCTTAAAAAAGCTAGGTTTACTAGAAAAGCTAGATTTGCTGGAAAAGCTAGATTTTAAAAAAGGCAAAATCATAATAGATATAAAAGCTCTATAAGTCCTCTTATATTCCAGTTATCCTTCCATCCTTATACATATCACAACTAACTATAATAACTAACTGCTATACTAACTAATAAGATATTTACTTTCCGTTGAATAGTATAGACTGATTAGGTCCCTTCTAATTGTTGCTATATTACTGCTTATACTATAAAAATCTAATATACTGAATATATCTATTATGCTTATACTATAAGAATACTCCTAATACCTATATAATAATTACTGATATACATAACAGTATAGAGGGTTATACTTATAGACTAGACTAGGTTATTATTTTATCCACCTTAAGTATACCTTCTAATAGAATTTAATTACTACTTAACCCAATTAAAACTCTATACTACCTAGCTTTACAAATCTAGATATACAGTTTTTAACTTTAAAATACAGTAGTAAATTAGTTAAATAGTATCTCTATATAATATATCTTATCTAGCTGTAAGTTAACTTTTATAAATTCTTTTAGCTTCTTAACTAGCTGTAGAATAGATAATATTATAGTATCTATAGCTATATATAGCTAGACTGTTTTAGCTCTAGCTAGGCTGTCTAAATTAGTTATATCTAGTATAATAAATTTACTAATAACAGCTAGATTAGAGAAGCTAAAAGTAGTATATAATAAGCTGTAATTATAAAATAAGATTAATTAATTCTTAAGTTAAATATAGCCTTATAAATATATCTAAATAGATAAAGTATATTTTAGAAGACTCTTTTATAATATTTATAGCCTATATAAATACCTTTACTATATAGTACCTACTCTTACTTACTTCTAAAATTAAATTATATCGGTATATTTTTAACTCTATATAGAATAAAAAAGCAGCCTTCTACTAGATTTAACAGTACTAAATAAGATATCTACAATACTATTACCTAGCTTGTTGCTACTAAACCAGGCATATAAATATATCTTAACATAATCCGCCTAAGAAAGTATATTAAATAGCATACTACTCTAGCTAATAATAATAGTATTAGGCGCGGCAGTAAGAACAGCAGTAATTAAAGACAGCACACTAAAGATAAGTTATAATATAATTACTGTAAATAGAATAAAATAGTAAAATAAGAATATTATATCTAGTAATATCATTGTTAAAATCACTGTTCTAACTACTGTTTCAAATTCTGTACAGTTACGTGCTTGCACGGTGTTAATAAGGGACTTAATCTATTAATCTTAAACCTAATTACAGTCTTTTGCCTCTTCTAACTACTAAGCACATAACCTCCTCTACAACATCCCTCTATAGGTTCCCTTAAGTTCTTGTAGTTATTAATTCTTTAATTGCAAGTTAACCAACACCACATTATTTATCAGCTATATAATCTATACTAAATAGTCAGGACTATACAAGCTCTAGAGAAATTCCTTTTCTATCAGAGAAAGTATATTCCTTCAGCAGTTCCAAATAAGAATCTTAACACAGCATAGCTCTTCAGTCACAAAGCGTTATAGAGCCAAATCTCTACTAGCTAGCTTTTGGATAGTATGGCAGCTAAAGACCAGTAACCCCACTAGATAAAGGTCCTCGGGTTCGTCTATTTGGATTTCTATAATATCTTGCAGTCCGGACTTTTAAGCTGCAATTTGCAGCTTCCCAATAAGGGTTGGGTTATTCCTGATTATATCATACAAATTAAATTGAAAGCTATTAATATATTGCCGATTGGGAGAGACCTGATCGGTCTATGTTATTCGACGGAAAGCCGATATCTTCAGTTGGTTAAGTCGTCGGTTGAGGTGTGTATAAGGATGGAAGGATGACTGGAATGGAACAGGGCCTGCAAAGTTTTTATATCTATTATGATTTTGCCTTTTCTAAGATCTAGCTTTTCTAGCAGATCTAGCTTTTCCAAGATGCAGCTGTTACTGTAGCTTATTAAGGTATTAGGAAAGGTAACTAGTTAGACTAGAAACCTTAGTCTATCTAAGTATACTGTTAACCTTTAAATAGACTGGGTATATAGTCTGTATTATTAATACTATTATTGGTGTTTTTTTTTTACTGTTAAGCTTCTAGTCCCCCCTCTAGGTATATGTATACTAGGGCATCCTAACCTCTTAATATTTAGTAATATTTAGCTGGTATAGTAAGTTAGATAACTAAGTTATATTAATAGCTAAAAGGCTAGTATTTTAGTAATAGCTAGTTTCTTAAATTAATATATTAGTTATCTAGTAAGAATTACTGGGATTATCTAGTAATTCTAGTAATTTTAAATTATAGTATTTATATAGTAATTTAAGTAATTTATCTATAGTTAGTTAAAACTTATAGAAATACTTATAAATATATAATAAAGGTATATCTAGCTAAGCTATAATATAATAACTAAATAAAAGTCTTTAAGTAGTTAATTACTCTACTATAAAAGTAGTTAAAAAAAGTAAGATTAATAAATAAATAAATAATTTATATAGATTCTTTATTTTAATTTTAATATTGAATTTATAAAAAGCTTATCCTAAATTATATATAAATAACTATCTCTAATCAAGCTGACAAGTTAGGCTAGCCTTCTTTCCACTTTATATTCTTTCCACTAATATTCCACTGAGTATTCTTTCTTAATTATTTATAACTCCTCTCCGGCATATATTCCACCTCTAATAGAGGAGCCGAGGCTTTTTTGTAGGTTTATTAGTTTTGCTGATCTTGTGGTTCAGCAGAGGGAATACAGAGACTGAACTGTTATATTCTTTACAATAATATGCTTTGCTTCCTATACGCGTGGGACCACCTCTACTTTTTCTGTGATCCTGAAAGACACTGTTTCCTGAGAATCTGAGAGCAACAGTTGCGCGGGTTCTTCTAGTCACAAGTTCAATGTTTGTCAAGGCGATGAAGATCCATTGCCGCTTACCGCAATCCCGATGCGAGACGCGGCATACTTTGAATGCACCCCAGAGGTACAATAGGGTCAATATGCCATGCCCAAACGGACGGTGTTGCATACAATCTGCTATATGTACTAGAACACCTTGTTTACTAAAAAACATTCAAGATCCATCCACCTTTGCACGCAACTATTAACAGCCAAACTGCGCAACAGCCGCGATAGCGCGGAACCCATCTATTGCCGTGCCAAGAGCTCCTTTGCCTGCCGCAATTGTCCTGCGAGCTCTTCAATTGTCTTTGCCTGCGAGAAAACGATAAAGTCGGGGCGCACCAGTACGTAGCGCGTCGAGGAAAGGAATCGTCTTCGGAAAGCCGCCGGATCGTAGCCTCTGAGCAACGAGACGCCCATCTTCTCCAGGTCATCAGACTTGCAAGGGAACAATTCAGAGATCCACGGAGCCGTCACTGAGTTGCAGGGTGATTCGTCACCGCGCAAAATAACAACGTTATCGGCTACGACGTGCGGAGGGAAGTCTCCGGAGTCGATGACCTGCTTTAATTCCGATGCCTCCTGTGCTGTAACCGAGCCGAGAACTAGGACGGTGAGGATAGAGGCTGACTTCCAGAAAATGTGGTCTGAGAGCAGAACCGGACCGTCAGTCGTCTTGACCCACATCTGGGCAGTCTTGCCAGCGCCGTGCTGGCCTGTCAGAAAGAAGCCGCGGTCAAGGCCAGCGTACCCGTCATTATCCATCAAGGCTCTCCGAGCGATGCCGTCTCGTACTCGAGGCAGGTACCGTAGGATGCTTCCCAGAACACCCAAAACTGCTGCGACAAGCCCCGACTTGTTGGAGAGCAAGACGCCGTTTCGCATGGTCATGGTGATGGCATCATCGACTCCCTTTCGCCGTTCGAGCGCCCAGTCATCGAGTAGCTTGTGGGATTGTAGCGATAAGCTGGTGCACAAACCCTCATCGCACAGCAGCGCAAGTCGCCACGAAAGCGCGAGGGAATCCCGGACGCCGTTGGCGATTCCTTGGGCCCCAAAAGGGGGGAAAACGTGCGCGGCGTCCCCTATCAAGATCGTCCGATTGTGAGACCATTGGTTGACTACCCTATGGCTGAAGCTATAATTCAACACGCTCTATTAGACCTCAGGCTCACTTCGGCATAAGGATAGGGGGAGAGGGAGTATGAGGCCAGTTCTTACTACGCGGGAGCACATCGCAACACCTCAACGCAATCCCAGGGGAATCGGACGGGACCTTCGGGGTTTATTCCCTGACGTCTTCATGTCTGTTAACACAGGTCCTGGTCCGGATTTCAGGTGTGGCCCTTTTCAAAACATACCTAAGTCGAGCTGCGGGGATTGTCAGGTGCGGTGCCATCTTCGCCTCCAACTGCTTCAACACATCTCGTTCCACTTCCTCCAAAGGAGTTTCTGAAGTTAGTTCATATTCGAACCTGGGTCGCGTTAGTCTCACCCATACCCAAGGGGGAATAGGGGGTGGATGGATTCTCCAGACCTCCAGAATCTTTCGTCAGCGGGACCGAACCTGCCTGTTGCAACGGGCATCACTGGGTCATTACAGAAGCTGATATGGGATTTAGCCGTGAAATACTCGAAATGATCGCAACCGTCGTATCACAGCAAATTCAAGGAACGTACTGGAAACCTTCCGGCCAGAATATATCCCAAACTTCCTCGGGTTTGTATCCCAGTTTCCACAGCGGGAAGTATGGATGGGATTCAGGGGTGGGCATAGTGATGCACAGGTTTGCTGCGACCCATTTCGCGGCGTAGTGGATCCTGGCCTGCTATAAGATCCGATGGATATGGCCTAGATGTTGGGCGTGTACTTACTTTCCTTCTGCCTGTTCGACCCCCCGTGGCTCAAGGAATGCTTTGCGTACGATTCCTCGCTTACCATCAGCGCCAACGAGATATCTCCCTCTCAAGTCGGTTGAAGCTCCGTCACTGGCAGTGAAGGATACCTCTATAGAATCCACGCCCTCGCGACACGACGTCACGGTGCACTCGGTTCTGAGCTGGGCATACTCCGAAGACTGGAGGAGGCCTCGCAGTTCTTCCTCTATTGAATGATTGGTTTAATAACTAGGGCATCGGACACTGTAGCTGTTATGCAATGGTATTCACCTACCTAGGCGTGGCTGCAGGATCAATGTGGCACCTGGCAGGCTTTGATCGTGGTAGTCAGAGTAACTGTCTACGCTGAGGAAGGGTTTATTGTTGAACGAATGCCGATGGAAGTGAATCGCCTTTAGGGCTGAAGCGAAGTAAGGCAGGTCATCTTAGCAGTTTGGACAATGGAGATAGGCATGTGGTACTCGACTCACTTTGTCCAAACTCAGACAACTTGCTCGAGCTGATCCCGAGCAACTCCATGATGCGGTGGCTGTCGCCAGCAAGGGCAATTGCGCGAGGGTCCTGACATATGTCGCGGTTCTTCTCGAGGACAACAGACTGGTGAGGGTGTAAATATTGTCAGTGCCTGACCGTGTGGATCATAGCATAGAATAGAGTAATGGGAGTGACCGACTCTGACTTTGTAGCAGGAGAGCGCGAGCGCAAGGGCAAGGCCGCTTGGGCCAGCACCGACGATGATTACGTCTGTCGTCTCCATGTCTGCATTTGGTAACTAATCTCGTGCGTACCCAACAAAAACGACGGAGCCGTTCCCTCGTTGGTGTTTTAACTCCGCAAAAACATTCATCGCCAGAGGTGCTCGACGGCCCATCGTATGATGCTTCGACCCATGGTCCTTTCCGGCTAACATCCAAGGCAAGTAAGTCCGGGGTCAAACTGCGGAGGCATGCTGCAAGGAATATATTCCACGGAAGAACTTCTTAGTGCGTGATGCGAAGCCTTTCCGGTCGTCGGAGGAACTAAAGAGTTACACCTACCCCATCAAAAATTCTTCCATGGCCGGCCTTGTCTTTTCTCAATAGCGTCTTATTTTCTACTCAACAATTCTGGTCCCAGTCGAGAACCCTTGAGTCGGGAGACGCCGTCGTGGCATCCAGGCTTAGGGTGGCCGCGTTGCTAGCGTTGTGTCACGATGATTCTCCAGCGCCTCCAGAGCCCCCCAGGGGACCCACCTTGCTAACCAATTAACTCTACCAGCTACCCTATGTAAGAGCTATTTTTCTTCTAAATACATAGTATATAGGAAAGACCTAAATACTCTGATCACTTGAATGCTGTTCTAAGGATATATAAGTGAAATTGACTCAGCTTAAACTTGAAAGCTTGAATTGTTCAGTGCATCAGTAACGTGTTTTATAAGCGAGCGATGCACTTGAGTTACTTTTAGCTGGGTATGGCGGGGAAAGGTTCCTAAGAATTATTAAGGCTCCTTGACAATTTTTGAGTACTTTTGTGTGTACGTTCTGCTAAAAAAAAATCCAAAGTGCGTAGCTCACTTATATTAGCCGCTTGCTTATAAAACAACTACCTCTTGCGAGGTGACTTTGACAGTTAACTACTCTGCCACCGGGACTTTTATTATAATTAGTTATATTTGAAAGTCAAGGATTGTTATGACTGAAGTTGAAGTGGGGCCCAGCAAAAGGGGGTGCAGCGAAAAGTCAGGTGGATAACTTGGGTCCAAAACCCAGTAGTTCTGGCCTTGTTGTGCATCTTGCGATCCGTGATATCTATCTAAAGTACCTAAGATTCCCAAAGCCCCAAATAAAAACATAGCATTACACTGTAAGCAAGTCTTTCACAAGTCAAGGGGGGGAAATTGTCTAATCCATACGCTGATTCTTTTATATCCCAATTTTATATCTGTGACGAGCTAGAAGTGAGGTAGCGACTCACCCGCGCGTGAGCCGCTAGTCCTCAGCTCAGAAGCATCTATCGGGGCGCTCTCTCTATCCTAGCTATATATTTCAGGCTGAGACAGGTATTAAGAGGCCAGAGATTAATCGATTCATCACTACATAAGTCAACTACCCTAGTAACGGATCAACCCACTAACGGATCACCCCACTTTAAGCCGCGTTGACCACAACGCGTCTCCGACCACACGCGTTTCTTCCTTCCACAACACCTTATTGGGCAATTTAACCTCTTTGGGCTATTCAGCATGCCCAATTACACCCAAAATGACCTTCAATTGGCTATTCAAGAGGTTGCTAAAGGCACCTCAATACGCAAAGCAGCCAATCATTACAATATTCCCTATATAACCCTACACAGTCGGATCAATAGCAGAGAAATGCGTTATAAGGCTTACTAATAGTAGCAAAGGCTTTCTATATATTAGAAAAAGGAGCTTTGTAATTAACTTATTCTTTAAGATAAGCTGGGTATAGCTATAACTTATACCCAGATCCGGAAGTTAGTTATTTCTATTTTAGGTGCAGCTGGCAATAATCGACCTCTTGGAAAATACTATATAGCTGGGTTTTTAAGCTGCAATCTACAAATAAAAACACTTAAAGCTAAAAGAATTAACTCAAAAAGAATAAATAGAGCTAATCTATATGCTATTAGCAGGTTCTTTAATATATTAGGCCAACTAGGTATCTGCAATATCCCTCTATATAACTGTTAGAATTGGGATAAAACTGGGATTTTTTAAGGGATCGGAACTAACAGGCTTATACTTAGCCAATTAAAGCTATAATTAACTATTAAGAAATACCCGAGTAGCCTCTATTAGACTAATATTCTTAAGGCTATTTCTATAACTGAAAAGTACCTTAATTTATTAGTTATTTTTAAAGGTAAAAACTTATAATAGCAGTAGTTTCTAAAGAATATAGACTATCTAATTAATTAGAATTTTATATTATCTAAACAGAGCTGGATTAGTAATATAATTAGCCTAGAATAGCTAAAAGAGATTTTTATTTTAGAATTAAAAATAAAAAAATCTAATAAAAAGTAACTTCTTATATTAAATAGCTATAGATTATATATAATATTTAATTTTATATATCTCTATATAGCTAATAGAATTTAATTAGTCTATTTACTGCTATATATAAGCTATATTCTTTAGCCTCTTAATATATCAATCTTTAAGCTAATTAACTGTAATAAGATATTAGATAGTTAGTTTATTATTAATAATTCTAATTAGACTATTATAGTCTAATTAGCTAATATCTTACCTCTAAAAATAAACTAGAAATTAGAAAATAGCTTATTTACTACCTCTAGCTATTTAAGAGATATATAGTTATTAGTATAGTTATAAGGTTAACCTAGCTATAATAGCCTAATTATATAATAGCTATTTTAAACTGTAAATAAGAGTCTAGATACTCTAGAGATAAAAGTATTAAAGCTAAAGGAGGAAAATAGAGCTTTAAAGTAGTAATTAAGCTAATTAAAAAAGAGAAAAAGAGCAGCAGTTAAAAGAGACTTAAATAAGCTTTTTATTTCTATTTAAAATATTAGAGTAATAAAAAGCTAGATAGAACCTTCTAAGTCAGAATATTTAGAATAAGTAGCTTTTACTAGGGTTTTATTAGTTAATTTATAAATCTTTAAAATCTTTAGTCTTTTCTTTATTTAAAAAGTCTTTAAATTGACTAATTGGAATACCTAGTTGTTATTTTATTTGTATTTAAAGTTAATAGGTAGGTCTATTAATTATGTAAATAGGGGTGATCCGTTAGTGGGTTGATCCGTTACTAGGGTAGTTGACTTACCTATCTTTGGTCGCGAGAGCGCGGAACCATCGCTCGACCACTGCATCTATTGCTACCTAGCAGCTTCCTTCACTCTTCCCAGATCCGCTTATTACAATATCCTAATTTCATGTCCCAATTCATGTCCACGCGGTACTCGCGTCTCACCCTCTCGTTCCTCTTCTCCTTTTGCTTTGGAAATCGCGCAATTACCCAGCCGTATCAACTCTGCTATAAAATCATCCACCATCTTGAGGTGTTCAATTTCGTATCGTGTTAGCCTCCGTATCGGCATGCTTCTGATGAGATCCGCTGCGGAGCTAAGAAGCCCCAGATCGAGATTTGCTTGCGTGTCAAGCGGGTTCAGGAGAACGTTGAAGAATAAAGTCATTATTGCGGCTGTGGGATAGAAGACAATGATCCTGGGGATTGACTGTTAGAGGAGGGTTCTCGTAGACCATTGGTTGGGTTTAAATGCCTCGTCTTGTTCCGTTCAAAGAAGAGAAATGAAGGACGGAGGAGGGAACAGGAGGAGAGGTGCGTTTCACTTACCAAAAGGCTTCGCCCGCAAGTCCATCAATCGCTGCTTGAAGATAATACAGAGTCGATCGACTCGCCTCCAAGGCCAGCGCTAGGCTTGAGTCAATAGCGCTGCTTCTCTCTCCTTCATGAAAGCTCGCGTCTGGACTAATAGGGTAGCACCTGCCACTTGCTCGGTGAATGGTGGCCATGAGATGATGGTACTCCAACCGCAAAGCGATGTGTTGCATGCTCTGTGGTAACTTGATTTCTGGTACTAAACGCGGATGTTGAGAAATTGAGAGCGCAGGGCGAAATTTGAGTGGAATAGATAACCGCCAAGTCTCAATCTCATTGTCCAGCTCACGGATATCACGGAGTAGTTCAGCGTCAGACTTCCCGAGGGCCTGAACCGAGTAGAGTAGTCGAAAAGCCTTTCCCTTCAATTGACCAAGACGTAAGTCTCCAGGAAGATATGGAAACAGGCTCTCGTCCGCAAATGAAGGGGACACTATGTCGTTGCTCAAGGCTGGAAGACAAAAGCAATTTTCCAGGTATCCGTCCGGCAGCGTGAGGTCGCAGTGTTCTTGGCACATGATGGGGGGTTGGCCAGTCCGTAACGCAGTGTCCTGATCGAAGATGTAACAGAGCCAGAAGATCATGCGGAGATGACGGATCTCTCGCTGCTTGCGAGTGATTTCTGCTCCGTAGGGCTTGAAATTCGTCTGCGTATGTCCGCCGAGCATGAAGATGATGCGGCAGGCAACCGCATGTAGCATAGCGGCAGATTGTAAGCGGCCAGAAAATATTTGATGCATGTGCTGTTATCGCAGAATGAGCTATCAGCTTGTCGACCTATACTTGACGGGGATCAGACACTTACCAGCATGAAAACGGTCTGGAGGGTCACTATACTGGCGTCCTCGACCATATTGGATAGTAAATAGTGCGCTTTGATAGCACATGCATCGCTATCCACAATGGGGCGCCATGTCGAATCCCCATTGAAAACGCACATGATGGCGAGAAAGGCCAACACACAGCCTTTAGCGCTAATGCGTTCTAGAGACAGCGGTCCCTCCCAGGGCTCATAGGCCAAGTTGACGCTGTCCTGGAAGAGAACAGTGTCAATTGCAGGAAACACCAGTCTAAACGCAGAATTTTGGAACCAATATATCCCCTGTTCAACGATGCTCCTGTCTGGTAACTCATAACGCTGCTCGAGAGAGCCGCGGAGGTGCAAGAGTGACAAGGTGGGTGGTTGGACTTGCTGATGCTTGTTGAAGGCTTTCAGTTTCTGAAATGTTGTCGCCTCGCCAGTTCGGGAGAAAATCCACGCCTGGCCTTCCTCGGAGAACAGCGGCATCCCATTGTGACAGGTGATGTGACCCAGGGGACATCCTGCAAGGTGAATCTGTCCATTTGAGATGTTGCTGGTGCTCAGCGCGCTAGGGGATTCAATATACAAAGGATGGTTTGATTCGTAAGCGGCAAACTGTTCCCCAAGGCTCGCGAAGCATTCATCCGGTGCCTGGGCTTTCATGGATGGGGGTGTCATTGTGGAACCAGCAGCAGAAGACGAGGAGGGGTCTATGCTGTTTCCGAGGCCGATGACCCTTGCCAAGGCGTTCTCGAGGCGCTCAAGGCGCTCAACCAACTTCTTCTCTGACCCGAGGCTTGGCCTAGGGCGAAGACGGAAACAGGCATGTTAGAGAGAATATAGGCTGTGTTTACACTAAGAGAGCCTCACTTGCCAGAGGCCTGACTTACTTGGCTTTCTGGAGCTTCCTTTTCCCTCTTACCCGATTGAAGGTACATGTTAGGCTGTGATGGTCGCACCAGTTGCATTGCGCGTCTGCTATAGGAGCATCACAATGAATCTGTTCTCACCATGCAATGAGCTAATGGCTTTGATCGTGGTATCGGTGCCGACGTTCCGTCTCCAGGGTAAGAGAAGGTAGGGGGGCAATTGGATGTTTGGTCCAGGGTAGGAGAGGGTACCTTTCTTTTATGGCAGGCATCGCAGGCCCGTTTTTGCCCCATGTTGGGTAATCTGGATTTAGCAACCAGCTGTCGGTAAAGCGGCGAAACCTCGAAATTGAGGACACGGAAGACACGTCGTGGAGGGGCCTCCAGGATTGATCCGTTAGCGATAACAGCAGGATAAAAGCGGAAGAAAGGATTCAAAGCCCAGCTGTGAGGATCAATTAACTTGAGAAACCGACTGCCATGAATAAATAGCCAGATATCGAGATTTCAGGTGGCAGGTTAGATCGTGTCATCCCGGAAATCAACGATGGAGATTGAGCTGGGAACTTCCGTTGACTATGCAGAAGATACGCTGAAACAGGAATAGCCCAGTGGCTAGCTCCGCTCATGAAGCTAAAGGCCTCCAGTAAGCACACTGGATGCGGCTCAAGAGACTAGTAGTACAGAAGCAGCTCACCTTCACGTGCTGTCCGGTGTCAGGTAGATGCAGTGCGGCGCCCGTTGCATCGTGGTTGACTCGTGGCTGCGAGTCAAAAACAGGTTAGAGGCTGCGGTGAATTCTTTTTCACATGCTTGGACCAGGCAACCACCACAAACGAGTGTCGAAGCCCGCCATCAATCAAACATCCATAATGACATAGCGCACCGCGAACACGCCATATATGATAGAAGCTCGTTCCATAGATAGAGTGCAGGCGGCTAGGTCGGCATAGTAGCCACTCGTGTCTCTGGTCTGCAAGACATAGTCGGCCGCATTTTGGGGAAGCCGGTCCTGGGGTCGTACCCGGAGTGGCCGGTGGACCGTGGCGCTCTAGTAGTCAACACTGGAGGGAAGTCTAAGAGGTAGAGCCGGTGCGGATCCGCATACTGTGGTGTCGCCGCTACACCGAGACGACGCAAGACTCACAGAGATACTACGGTGGCCGGTGGACTGTGGCGCTCTAGTGACACTAGAGGGAAGTCTAAGAGGTAGGGCCGATGCGGATCCGCATGCTGTGGTGTCGCCGCTACACCGAGACCACGCGAGACTCGCAGAGATACTACGGTGGCCGGAGAGGACTGATGCGCACATCGGTCAGTTTAAGAGACGGGGGGCTTACCGCCCGTTGCAGCTGGCTTGAGATGCAACTTGGATTACACGACCGCATCGGCCGTACTGGATATGGGGCGGCATCGCTATAGTCCTTAGCCGGGGCTGTAAGAGGAACGAATAATCCTGAAGTCTCTGTCGACCGTAAATCACCTTTACGATTCACGGCGTGTGGATCTTGAAGAGAACAGTTGGTAATGCAGGGGGGCCATGAATGATACATCAATCCAAGCGCTCACGGCCTGTTAATTATCGTGGCTCCAGCTTTGAGTCATCCAAGTTTGTTCGGTCTTCTGAACAGCAGAGGAGCCTAAAGCCTCATGTTCGGGGTCAAGAAACCTGAGCCAATCGTGATGCAAGGGGGCTTGAAAGTGCCTCAACAAGTTTTCTACGTCCTTTAGCGTGACAGCATTATGGGAAACCCGAGAAAACTTGTCAAACAACTCTATGTTTCTCCAATTAGGTCTAGTGACGACAAGCCAAAGTTGTGGATTACTTACTGATCAGAAATCTCGGTAGGTTCCAGAAGAATGAGAACTGTTCCAAAAAGAGTCGAAGGATATTCTTTTGCGTTCCAAGCGTGGCTTGTCGCTCTGGCCTCGAGCTTGCTAAGGTGGTGTAGTGGAGGTGGAGGATAACTAGCGCCGAGTAGATAATGAAACATACAGCTGGGTCGACGCTGGGTGAGTGTTGGCTATCCCATTGCTTGACGACGTCGACTATGTCCTGGCAGTACTCGAGGGTCTTATGCCACAGACACAATCGTTGTTCCTCCGATTTCTGCGGGTGGAAAGGCAGACAGACCAGAAGACGAGAGACGTGCAGATGAAGGAGACAGATTAGGCGAGCGTGATAGGCAGAGCAGGGTTCATCGTGCAAAACGTCGCGCGCTACGTTCATATATCGCGGTGGTAGTGCTAGCCGCACTGCCGTAAGGTGATTTTCGAGGGCTCCTAGACGCCGATGCAAACGTTCCAATGGATTCTGCCAACATAGTTGGTAGAGTGTGGCAGCCTCCCTGAGAATTAGAGTTGTCACCATATGGATATTGAAGTTGAGATGCTTGCTGTGCGAGGTGATCTCCTCGATGATCTGCCAGAGCGTATCTGTTTCGTCAGGCAGGAATATCTGGGTCTTGCGTCTCCCTTCCTCGCCTGGATCAGTGAGAAGAGATGTCCTGATGCTTTGGACATGCACGAGGAAAGGACTTGCTGTCGTGATGTTCGAGTATGAGTCGAGGCAGAAGATGCACCACCAGACATGTCTCCACTTATCAACCTCATCGTCGACAAGGGGGCCGCAGGCGAGCATTGCGGACTGATTGTCGCTGTCAAGTTGATGAAGCCCATAGCGGTAAGCTTTGCGCGTGAGTTGGCCAATTTGCAACCATGCTTTCTCCCCCGGATGTTGATGGAACTCATAAAAGGCGAGCAAACAAGCCTGTCGGAAGTTATCGAGTGATAGTTGCCCGGCAGACGTTTCGGAGTCTAGGACGGTTCTCGCTTGGAGGTGACTCAAACAGTCGTTGAGGCCTTGCTCAGTCCAGTAACTGGGCCGACCTAGTATCTTGGCCGTTAGGGCAAGGATTGTAATCAGCAACTCCCTGTTCACAGTGCCAAACTCGAATTGCCGGATGAATTCGTCTCTGCGGAAGAGCGGTATGGATGAATGGATTTGCTCGAAGAAACTTTCTAGCCTGGATGTGGTGGTACAATCCGTCAGACAAGGGCATACCCAGGAGGAGGAAACTTACAGTTCGCGTTCTTGGTCAAAGGTCAAGCAAGGCTCCATAGCGCACAGCTGGTCCAACGATGGAGTTGGCCAGGACGCGGCTGGTAAGAAGTCGCCTAGTGCTTCTTCGGGTACCGGATTGAGGATAGAAATGGTATCAAGGAATGCGAAGTCCGAACCCGGAAAGGAGACTTGCTCGCCTTGCGAAAGTAATGGAGCCACTGCATCTCCTGATTGTGCGGAGGATTCGGAGGACGGCGAGGCGATATCCCCTTGAGCATTGCGGGCACGTTTGCGAACTCCCCTTCCTGGACCTGGCTTCTTCTTCAATGAAGAGTAAAGACAGACCCATCCGCTTTCTAGGCAGCGGGAACACGTAGGTCGCTTCATGTCGCCTACATACCATCAGGTAAGTGACGGCGGGGAAGACAAAACACGGTACATACACTTGACTTTTTTCCTAGGGCAAGTCAGCGAACGTTCTTAATACAATGCAATGAGGCTCGAGGGGACGGACAAGATGCATCGGTCGCATACACGGGTCCTCAAAGGCTGTTCAAGCGTAACCTGGCCATCCCGGGAGAAACCGTCCCAAGCCGCTAGGGTGGGGTGATTGAGACTCATTGCGCCTTGCCAGTCTCTCTGAAGTATTCACGGGGCCAAAAGACGTAAGTGAGGAAGCGGGTCTGTTTCTTTAAACCGGTCGCGCAGTTGCGTTGGGTCATCCAAGGGATACGCGTGGATCTGTGGCTTGGTGAAGGAAAAGGGATGAAAGGATATTTCAGAAACGAAAAACTCCACGAGGTTGCTTCGCACCGAGCCTGGGCTTCCCCGTATTTCCCCCAGGTCCGCTAATGCGATCTTGGACTGGTGCTTACAACATGCAGGGCCGAAGTATGGACTCTAGTGGCCAAGCCACGGGATTCTCCGGCTTTTGTGCAATACTACGTAGTACGAAGCACGCGTCTTCGCTAAGACTGAACAGGAATCGTCAATATAGAGCTAAAATCTTAGGTTACAACTTTGTAAGTACAAGGCATACTACAATAACCGCTTATCTAACCATCACATGCAACTCATGCCGTGTGGCCTTTACCCCATCCTCAGTCATCTCAGGGGGCATCTCGGGGCCCCAGACGGATAGCGGACCAGCAATACCCCGCTTCGTGCCTGCGTGAACATTGACCAGATCTCCATCGGTGTAGTGTTCAATGATGAACCCACTGGGATCTCTCCAGTAGTCGAAAATCTGCGATCCTAGAATATGCCTTCCCACACCCCACACAGCTTTGTGACCCTTGCTTGCCAACCAGTCATGTCCAAGGAGCTGAGTATCGAAATCCTCCACTTCATAAGACGTATGATGCAGGCGATCATGCTCTCCGGGGGCCGCACGGCTGAGAAAAAGACTGTGGTGGTCTGAGAATCGCTCTCCTAGGTCTAGGTGCATAAAGGCAATAACGGCTATATCCTTATTCGTGGGTAGCGAGAGCACGTCAGATGGAACGAAGTTGAAATTGCTCGTGTACCACTTGATTTCCTCATCCCACTTGGCGACAATGAATCCGTAGTGGCCCAGTTTATAGATCATTGCCGGCCCAGGGTGAAACCGCTGGAACTTACCTGAACCCAAGAGTCAGTCCGTTCCACATACTCGAATACACGATACAGGCAAAGAAAGACGAACTTACCGAGTCTGTGCTTGCTGATGCTCCCGTTGAAGGGTCCCAGGTTGTCAACCACTGCAGACGGGGCGGACTCGCACGCCGGTCTTTCAACCTGCCCAGACAACACGTGGAATAAGAACCCGGAGGGCGTCTTCAGCGTTACCCTGCGACCGCCTCCGGGATACGGAGCGAGATTTGAGACCTCGGCTCCCTCCATGGCTGCAGCCTTATCGAAGTCCTCTTGGGTCTGGGCAATCCAGGCCCCACCACCAAACGCCGCGGTGCCCGCTGGAGCCTGGCGGGCGACGTAACAGTACGGATCTTTGCTGTAGCCGCGATAGAGGACTACGTCGTCGGAGCGCCACGCCTCAACTAGACCGAAGTCTAGGGCAAATTTGCCGAAATCATCAAGATCTGGATGCTCGAAATATACATGGGAAATCCGTTCGAGCTGGATCTTGGAAGGATGGTTTTGAACCACGCCAAGTCGGAGGGAAGCCATGATGAACAGTCGGTCGTGCTTGGAAATTCGGATAGAACAGGTGCGGCAATAAGAGTCTTTGGTGGCTTAGACCTTATCTATTGATAACATCCAAAGCCCTACCAGTGGCTATTAATACTGATGGCCTCAGAATGGCGCACTGGATTGACCGTTGTAGGAGTTTGAAACGGAGTAATTCGCCGCGGTTTGAAAGTAGCCGGAATGTGTCTATGTCCTGCGTCGGGAGGTGATGCTCGCTTGACTCGAGGACAGTAGTGCCGTCTCCGCTGCAAGAGGTCCGCGGAAGATCTCCATGTGGAATGTCGACTAGTGAGCCACTAATTTGCTCTAATGCGTTCTAGAACACAGCGATTGCGCTGGTTCTAATTGATATTCAACAGAAGAAATGGGGGGGAAAAAAGGGTCCTGTCACAGCGTTCCGCTGCACTACCACCCTCCCAACCACCCTCCCACAGCGAGGCTGGGCTTTTTAGGTACAGGGTGGTTCCGCCGCGGAGTAATTTACTATGTTGGGAATGCACGCGCTGCCTTTGCGCGTTCTATCGCCCCATGGGCCAATGACGAACAAGCACGAGGCCGTTACTCTGGACAGTAGCCTGCCTCTACAAGTCGGACACTTCTCCTCGATACAGTCGTTACGAAACAGCGTATGGTTGTTGATCGTGGAAAATTCGCCAGTTATATTCACGCCATGTAGATTGTTCAGGACATCTCATTCCTTATCAACATCCTCAAGCTATCGCCGAAGCCCCTACGCAGCACTAATATGGGCATCATCAGCAGTAGCACCAAACGGTCCATGGATGCCTCCCAGCCCTCACCTGACGCATCTAGACGCATTACGAAGATGTATCAACCGCAAGTACGGCCTGAACTTGACCAACTACACCCAGCTCCACAAGTGGTCCGTTGATGAGATCGAGTCCTTCTGCCGCGAGATCTGGACATTTTGCGGCCTGGTCTACACCAAACCCACAACAGCCGTCGCCGTTGGCATCGAATCCGCGATGGTTCCCGGGCGCCCGGCTTAACTACACAGAGAACGTACTGATCAAAGGGTTAGCCGCTCACCCGGACGCGGTCGCTGTGTCCGCGTGTCGCGAGGGGGGATCGCGATGGCGCCATCTAACGTGGATGGAGCTCCGGCGGCAAGTCGCCTTGTACACCAGTGCCTTGAGACATGCGGGAGTGAAGCAAGGGGATCGCGTGGCGAGTAAGTTGGGCAACGGTCGTCACATGATAGTAGTTCAAGCTGAAGCTGACCTCGAACTGTGCAGCCGTGGCGACAAATTCGATCGAATCGCTCCTCATTCTACTTGCGGCCGGCACCGTCGGGGCCATCTTCTCGTCCACGGCTCCGGACATGGGGGCTAAGGGCATCGTCGAGAGATACTCTCAGATCCAACCCAAAGTCATATTTCTCGAATCCACAGTCCTATACGGAGGAAAGACGCAGGACCAACGAGAAAAGCTCAAGACGGCCGTTAGAGAGCTAAAGAAACGGGTAAAGCAGCTAAAGCGTGTTGTTATCATGACAGGGCCGGCCTGGGAGGACACAGGCCTGTAAGTGTGCATTGGCAGCTCCTTGATCCAGAGAAGAGCCTCGACTGACATTAGACGCCACACAGCCTCCACCTGAATGACTTCCTCAACGTTGAACTCCTGCCACTGGAGTTCACCGAAGTTCCATTTGACTATCCTATCTACATCCTTTACTCGTACGTCTATCGGCGCTTTTGACCGTACAGATTGAGCTCATATTTTTCCTAGCTCCAGCACCACCGGGCCGCCGAAATGTAGGCTGCTTCTGGCACTCGTTGACTCTATATCCGTGACATGTTGAAGGGCAACTACTGATGACAGTATATGCAGGTATCTGCCACGCTGGAGGAGCCGTCCTTCTTCAGCAGAAAAAGGACCTGATTCTTGGTGCCGATCTAGGAGAAGACTCAACCTACTATCAGTATACCACAGTCAGTGGACGAACCAGTCTATTTCCCTGCCAATAGGCCTAGTCTGACTAACAACTTGGCCAGATTGGTTGGATGATGTAGAATATGCTGGTCGCTGCTCTAAGCATTGGGTCCAGAATCGTCCTGTATAATGGCAGTCCGCTCCATCCCTCGCCGACATTCCAAGTCCAAATCCTCGAATAGCAGGGGTACGTCTAACAAAGTCATCCTCTAAGCCTCTTTGTTCCCCTCGCAAGTCACCAATAGATCGCTGATATGCCGCTGTAAAGTGTCACCCACTGGGGTACAAGCCCAAAATTCCTCACGGCGTTTAGGCATAGTCTTCCTGGTGTGTTGTCTCCGCTTCAGAGTCTCCAGGTAGCAGTTGTGCCCGGGGCACCCCTTCCAACGGAGACGAGCGACTGGTTGTACACAGTGTTCCCTAAGAAAGTCGCCCTTCAAAGCAGTTCGGGGGGGACGGATCTTGCTGCAGGCAGTAAGCATAGCCCCTAATATCTCTGAGGCCCACAGTAAGCACTCCTGCTGATCATTCCCTGCGGGTACGCAGTCGTTGGCGGCAACCTCATCGTTCGTCTTCACGGATCCCAGCTCGCCGCTCCGATCCTCGGCATGCAGGTCGATATCTGGGACCAGGACGGCAGGAACATTGAGAATTCGGGCCAGAAAGGAGACCTCGTCATTACGAAGCCGTTCTTCAGCATGCCCGTCACATTTTGGGGTGAAGGGGGTCACGAGAAATATCGCAAGGCGTATTTCGATGTCTGCCCAGGCACCTGGTGTCACGGCGACCTCATCTCCAAGGATCTTGAGACTCAGAGTTATGTCATCCACGGTCGGAGTGATGGAGTGCTGAACCCGAGAGGTATGGCATCTGATGCAGTACAAATCCTTCGAGCAAAATGTAGACTGACCATGATGGGTATTTCCAGGTGTCCGATTCGGCACGGCTGATCTCTATAACAACATCTTCAAGTTCTCCCAAGTCGAGGATTGTATTGCTGTCGGGCAGCGCCGGCCGAAGGATAACGACGAGCGCGTGCTTCTCTTCCTCAAGATGAGGGATAATGCCCGGCTAGAGAACTCCCTGCGTGCATATATCGCAAAGGTCATCAGAAAGGACTTAAGTAGGCGGCGAGTTCCAGCATACATATTTCAGGTTCGGGACATCCCATACACGTCGAATGGGAAGAAGATCGAGAATCTCGTCAGAGACATAGTGTGCAGGGAGACGGTCAGGGTCGGCGGCACGGCGACAAACCCGGAGTGCCTGAAGGAGTACGAGCAATATCTTCATCTGCCGTTGGTAGAAGAGAAGGCCAAGCTCTAAGCTGCCGTTGCAAGAGAACCATGCGCAGAGATTTCATAGAGCGGAATACTACAAGGAGACCCAGGTAGATGTAATTGGACGAATAGACCATGGGAAATTAGAGCACGGCATAGCACACATAAGCTCAGTATCTTTGTTATTGACCATTTTGTCCATGTCTAAATATTTGTGAGAACAAGCATCCTCTTGAGGGCAAAAGTAGCCAGGAACTCGCAGCCACTTCAATCCTCATGTGCTCGATACTAGGAAGGATTCTCTTGTCGGGGAAGACTTGCTTCATCCGTCGGTACTCACAACGGCGTGGGCGACGGCTTTCTGGCTCTTAGACAACTTCTCGCTGAGATCCATGTTCGATCACCCCGATCGTCCATTTAGCGGGCGACAAGTTGGGGGGGCCGGAGCGTCGTGGACGTATCATTCATGATCGCCATGGCGCCGGAGTAACGGGCGCTTAGACCATCCCCAAACGCGGGGAACTCTATGCACTAGTTCCTCCGGCGCTATTCCTATGGAATGATTGATGATAGGCCACATCGCGGTTGGTTGGGGTCACGTAGCCATACAGGGCAATCTTGTATCCTAGACTCCAGATGTAAGACCATCCAATGCGACGGGGTTAAAAGGGGGTGGCCTGACTCCATTGACAACGATGCTTACCACTGCATCGGGTCGCAGCAATCACCATAAACATATCGGCCGAGATTCGCGGTTCAGACTTGATTGCTGTATAATCCGCCTGCTGACTGCTTGAATATTGTAACCAAGTCTTATCAGTCTCTTCATTATGGCTTTGTCTCCTTGGGTATGTAAACTAAAGCTCGAGTTCCGTCAAGCCGACATGCTGAAACTCGCAGTCGTGGCCACTCTGGTGGCGCCTCCTAATCCTCTTTAACGTTAGCATCTACAATATGCTCGGCAATGTCTTTGCTGCAGGCATATCGCCTCTCTTCGGGCTCATTATGCAGGAGTTTCACTGTACCGAGAATGAAGCATCGCAGCTCGGCACGTACGTCTTGTTTACCTTGGGTCTCTCGGTACGTGAAATATTCCAAGTGTTGCATGGGCGACGGCAAACCTCCATCATTCTCTCTCGATTCGCACTAACACGGATGTCGCCCAGAACTTCATTGCTCTCCCCTTGGCCTTCCTTATTGGCAAGCGCTACACGATCGTCGTCTCTCTCGTCGTCTTCCTTGCCGCCAACATCTGGAGCGGCGAGGCGCAGTCCTACCAATCCCTTCGGAGCGCCCGCATCCTAGGTGGAATGGCCGGCGGCCTGATCGAGGCTCTCGCTCCTACCATAGTCACCGAGACGTTCCCGGAACGCCAGCTAGCCAGGGCCATGGTGGTCTACGTCGGGTTCCTTGCCACTGGAGCAGCGCTTGGTCCCATCATTTCGGGTGCCGTAGCCCAGGGCTTAGGAGAATGGAGATGGTTCCAGAGAATCATGTCTATCGCTGTGGCTGTGAATCTCGTCTTCAGCATCATCATGCTCCCGGAGACGACACACGACGACATGAACCTCAGCGAAGGAGTGGCCTTGGGGGAGCAGGGAGAAGAGGCGGAGACAAGGAAGACGCAGTGCAAAGCCGAGGAGAGCATGATCGAGAACGCCACGAGCATCGCACAGACCTCATCGCCGGTTGAACAACCGACGCTGAAGATGGAATACGTGCGGCGATCCTTCTCCCTGCACTTCGTCGAACTGAACTGGAAAGCCTCACTCATCTCCTTCTTCCAGCCCCTTGAGCTCATCGTCCTGCCCCAAGTCCTCGTCACTGTTGTCATATTCGGCCTGACCATCGGCTGGACTGCCATCACTTCCATACTCATCTCCATCATCTACGCCCAGCCGCCCTTCCTCTGGGGCCCGTTGCCTATCGGTCTACTCAACGCCGGGCCACTGGTTGGTATTACCCTTGGGCTCCCCATCGGCGGTGCCCTCGCCGACATGCTCTTCAACCGCGCAACCCGACGATCCAACGGCGTGACCAACCCAGCAACCCGTCTCCCGGCCCTGTTGCCTGGTGCCTTGCTCAGCCCTGCTGGCTGCGTAGTCATGGGCTTTGCGCTACGAGACCCGGGCAATTACATTGTGGTATCCGTGGGCTGGGGCATGCTATGTCTCGGACTTACGAGCTCGGCCAACGTTCTTCTCACGTATGCTGTCGGCTGTCCGCCGACGCGGGCCGGACATATCGGCGCCCTGGCCAACGTGACGAAGAACAGCATCGGGTTTGCTGTGTCATATGGTGCTGTGGACTGGTTGCGGAGGGTGGGCCCAGTGAATCAGTTTTCCACTATGGCGGGCATACTGTGGGGGTCATACCTCCTCGTGATTCCCATTTGGATGTTTAGCAAGACGTTGGTAAGAAAGACAACGGCCTTTGCGTGAGTGGTGAAGGACGTAAAGGGGTTCTATGTTACAGCAGATAGCTGGGGTTAACTCTAAGCTGCCTATAGAGATCCGGATCCAGATAAGCTGTCGATTTATAAAAGACCGACCTTTAATTACTTCTTAAATAGAAATTAAGAGTCTCTTATTATTACAATCTACCTGCAGTTGCAATATTATATCTAGATGCTAATTTTATTAACTTAGCTATAATACTACTATTAGATTAGATTAATACTTAGTTATATTAGTTAGATTAATTAATTTAAATTAAAAAGAGAATTTTATTAGATTAAATAATTTAAATATAAACTTTTATATATCTAATATATATGATATTTTATATAGAAAAACCCAGCTTAAAATAAGATATATTTTTTAAAAAAAAAGAAGTTTATATATTATTAAATAAATAAAATCTCTAATTTATTTAATAATTTTCAAAGTTCTTTTTATTATTTTATTTATTTTATATATTATAGTTTATATTATAATCCAGGCTAAATTTAGTAGTTAGAACTAGTAAAATTCTAGTTTAATTATATATATCTAAAAGAGACTAATAAAATTAACTTTTAATTCTATAAAGTAAGGGCGGGGATAGAGGATACTAAAAATATATAACCTACCTAAAAGTAGAGCTATAATAACTGTAATAGTATTATAATAAAAAGGGCGGATAGAGTCGGGATTAAAGTCTGGATAAATAGCTTAAATAAGTAAAAATAATAACCTTCTTAGCTAATACTATTTAATTAAATAGATTTCTAAAAGGTCTTAAAAGAATAGGCTAAAAGATTATTAATTAAGTAAGATACTAAAAGGGATAATATATACTAAAAAGTCTTATATAGAATCTTTTTAATTTATAGCCTCTATAGGTTAGGCTATAAATTTCTATTTAGTATAGTATTTTCTATTAAACAAAGCTGTTAATTTTAGCTCTAGTAGCTATAAGTATCTAATTAAATAATTTTTATGCTTAAAAACTGGAAAATTTTAACTTACTAAGAATTTTATTTTAAATTAAGCTATAAATAGAATAGTTTACTAATAGATATATAGTATATAGCTAATTAAGAAATATATTAAGAGGTTAGAATACTTTAGTATATATATACTTAGAGGGGGGACTAGAAGCTTAATAGTAAAAAAGAATACTAATAATAGTATTAATAATATAAATTATAGACTCAGTTTATTTAAAGGTTAATAGTATATTTAAATAGATTAAAATTTCTAATTTAAGTAATTATCTTTTCTAATATTTTAATAAGCTGTAATAATAGCTATATTTTAAAAAAACTAAATTCACTAAAAAAGCTAGATTTTAAAAAAGCTAGATTTTAAAAAAGGTAAAATTTTAATAAATATAAAAGCTCTACTATTATTAAAATTACTATTCTAACTACTATTTTAAATTTTATATTATATATTTATATAAGTATTAATAAGAAACTTAGTCTATTAATTTTTAAATATAATTACAGTTTTTTACCTTTTTTAAATCTTCTTTATAATATCCCTCTATAAGTTCTTTTAAATTCTTATAATTATTAATTTTTTAATTATAAATTAACTAATATTATGTTATTTATTAGCTATATAATTTATACTATATAATTAGAATTATATAAGCTTTAAAGAAATTTCTTTTTTATTAGAAAAAGTATATTCTTTTAGTAATTTTAAAGAAAAATCTTAATATAGTATAGCTTTTTAATTATAAAATATTATAAACTTAGATTTCTATTAGCTAGCTTTTAAATAGTATTATAGCAGGCAGTTAGAAGCTTTTAAGCTAGCTAGTTACTAGCAGGGTTATTTCTAGAGTAGTTTAAATAAGGTTAAAAAAGAAGATTAGAGCCTATATAGAAAGAAGTATTATTTTTTTACTTTATTAGAGATTCTTCTTAAAAGTTAGAGAAGCTAAAAGGTTTTAAGGCTGCTAGAAAGTCTATTTATTTATTACTTTTACTTTTAAGAGATTTATTTAAGTTTATTTTAACTGCTACTATAAGTTTTATTCTACTTCTATCTTTAACCTCCTTTAGATATTAAGCTACTATAAACTTAATTAATATCTTACTAGTAAACTTTTCTATAACTAACTTAATATTTTATCTTATAAGATACTTTTCTACTAAAAGATATAAGCCTTAAATTAATTTAATTTTATATATATAATCTGGTATAGCTTTAAGCTAACTAGCTAAAATATCTATATAATAATTCTTTATATATCTTCTCTAGAGTAAGTTAATAAGTTAAGTATTATTTCTATTTCTTTTTACTTTTAAAGTATTTAGTTTTTTTAGCTTTACTTAATATCATTAGATAGATTAAAGCTATATAGTAATCTTAAATAGTAGGAATAAATAATAAGTACTTTATTCAGTATCAAAAGAAATAGTAGCTAAATAATAAGGTTGTTACCCACTAGTCTCTGCCTAAAGCTTCTATTTAACCCCTCTAACTTCAACTTTATTATCTGCAGTTAACAACCTTGCTATTTGCAGTTAACAACCTAAATAGAATTCTAACAGAAAAGAAAAAAACAGCTTGAAACTTAAAACTTGGGCCTTGGTAACTATAATATACGCATAATGAAAATGCAGTAAATTTAAATACTAGGTTTTCTTATTGAGGGTTACTTTTAAAGTATAATAGCTAAAAATTAGTAACTATATTATATAAAAATTCTTAAATTTATTTATTTAAAGTTTTATAATATTTTATAGTTTAGATTTTTAAGCTGTAATTTATAGCTTTTTAATAAAAATTAAATTATTTTTAATTATATAATATAAATTAAATTAAAAGCTATTAATATAGTATTAATTAGAAGAAATCTAATTAATTTATATAATTTAATAAAAAGCTAGTATTTTTAGTTAACTAGTTAAGTTATTAATTAAGTTATTAATTAAGATATATATAAAAATAAAAAGTAACTAAAATAAAAAAAAGCTTTTAGAACTTTTATATCTATTAAAATTTAACTTTTTTTAAGATTTAGTTTTTTTAGTAAATTTAGTTTTTTTAAATCTAGCTTTTTTAGTAAATCTAGCTTTTTTAAGATATAGCTATTATTATAGCTTATTAATATATTAGAAAAAATAACTAGTTAAACTAGAAATCTTAATTTATTTAAGTAAATTATTAATCTTTAAATAGACTAAATATATAATTTATATTATTAATACTATTAATAGTATTTCTTTTTATACTATTAAGCTTTTAGTTTTCTTTTTAGGTATATATATACTAAAGTATTCTAATCTCTTAATATAATTACTAGTATTTAGCTACTATACTATTTAAAATTAGCTAGTAGAAATCTAAGTTTATAATATTTTATAATTAAAAAGTTATATTATATTAAAATTCTTTTTTAAAGCTACTAAAACTATATCTTTTCTCTAATAAAAAAGAAATTTCTCTAGAACTTATATAATTCTAATTATATAATATAAATTATATAGCTAATAAATAATATAATATTAGTTAAGTTAGCTTATTTATTTATAAATTAAAAGCTTAGCTAACTACTCTACTTATATAATAATTAAAATTGCAATTTAACTTTACTTAAATATAAAATAATAATTAAGAAACTTAATTAATTTATTTTAACTAATTTTTAATAAACTAACTAATGAAATTTCTAAATATTAAAAAATTAACTAATAAAAATAAAGAAAAAATAAGCTATTTTAAATCTTTAATTTTAGGTATTTTTATTTGCCTTTTTACTCTCTTTATATTCTGAATACTTAAAAATAGCTTATTTAGGTTTTTATAAACTTAATTCTTTTTTTTAGTTTTTAATTAATTTAAATTTTATTATAAAACTGTAATTTAATCTTATAATTAAGCAATTTATAAGTAAAGCTTATTTAAGCTCTTATTAATAATTCTTAGTAGCTATCTTATAATTAAGCTAGCTAGAATTTTCTTTTTATAAGAATAAATTAATAAGATAATATTCCTTAAATTACTAGAGGTAGTAAAAAAAGTAATTTTAAACCTCTAATTTCTTTTTAGAAAAATAGAAACTTTTAATTAAACTATAATTATATTATTAAAGTTATTAATAATAAATTAGCTATCTATTAGCTTTAATTTATTAATTAGCTATAACCTAGCTTTCTTTTAACTAAATAATATATTTTTAATAGTTAAAATCTTTTTTCTTATTTTAAAATAATAAGTAAGAAAGTTTTTTTTTTTAGTTAAACTAATATTAATAAGGGGATTAATTAGTATTAAAGTAGCTTAATATATAGCTTTAAGTAGCTTAAAAATTAATATATTAAAAGGCTAAAAAATATAGCTAGTATAAAATAGTAAATAAAATAAATAAATTCTATTAGTTATATAAGTATATATAAATTTAATTATTATATATAATCTATTTCTTAATAAGAAAACCTAGTATTTAAATTTACTATATTTTTAATATATATATATTATAATTACTAAAGCCTAAATTTTAAGTTTTAAGCTGCTTTTTTCTTTTTTATTAAAATTCTATCTAACTTTTTTAACCTAGTCTAACCTTAATAAATATACTAAAAACTTCTATAACCTAACCTAATATCCTAAAATCTCTAATATCTATAATAACCTATTTAAGTTATTTAAATCCCCCCTCTAGCTAGTATTCTATATAGCTAGTATCTATATTAACTTAATATAATATAATAGCTTCTAGAACTAGAGGTTATATTAAGCTCTAGTAATATTCTAAAGAAAAATTTAACTTTTTAAATTAATATTATTAATATTTTTTATTAAGTTATAAAATATAGCTATTTCTATTTAGATATATAAAATAAGATTACTACTAAGAATTTAATTTTCTTATTTATTAATTTTATGTTTATTATAAAAAAGTAAATAGTATTTAAAAATAGCTAATATAATCTATTATCTTCTATTTAAATATTATAGATAGTATAGTAATAACTTAAATAGATTTTTTTTTAAGAAAGTTTAAGAGGAAATTTAGCTTTTATTTTTTTAATTTATTCTTTAAATTTTAAAAAAATTTAAGATTATATTAAATATTATTTATATAATATAAATATAATAAATTACTAGTAGTAAGAGCTTTTTAAATAAAATTTACTATATTCAAAGTTAGTTATTATAGAATAAGAAATAAGTATTAAAATAAAAGTTAGCTTCTTAATAATAAAAGATATTAGTTTTTTTTATATTTTTTTATTTAAAATAAAATTACTATCTTAAGGTTATTAACTATAAATAGTAAAATTATTAATTATAGATAATAGAGTTAAAATTAAAGGAGTTAAATAAAAGCTTTAAGTAGAGATTAGTAAGTAATAATCTTATTATTTAGCTATTATTTTTTCTAGTATTAAGTATAATTCTTATTATTTATTTTTACTATTTAAGATTATTATATAACTTTAATTTATCTAATAATATTAAATAAGATTATAAAAAAACTAAATAACTATATAAAATTTAAAATAGTAATTAAAATAGTATTTTTAATAATAAAGGTTTTATATATTTATATTATAATATAAAATTTATAAAAAATATAATATTTTTAATAATATTTAAATTAATTTCTTTTTTTATATAATATTTTTTTATATATTATATACTATTTTTATTAATAGTAATTAAAATATAAAAATTTATATTATATATATAATAAATTAGTTATGATAGTATATAATATAAAGATATTAAATTCAGGCCTACTTAAAAAAGAAAGTAGATACTTAAAAAGGAGATATACAGAAGATAGATATATCTAACACTCAGCTAGCATCTACTATCCCTGCGTCTGGAGATATCGGCAGCAACCAAGGCTTCGCAGCTCGACGTACTTTTAGCTCGGCTCTTAATTGAAGTCCGATGCTCCGTGTTTGCTTGCTAAGCTCTCGCTAATCACCGCAATTTTCTCAGCCCACAAAACAGGTTATCCAACCAGTCAGTTGATCGCCACATGTAGAGCGGCTTCAATGCTGTACACGCAGTGCAAGACAGTCGACCTGGCGACGTTTGTCAGCGCCTCCGAAGCCCGAAACTCCAGGTTCCTATTTATGGGAATTTAATCTCTCTAGCGGAGGATTGATCTCGTACTTAAAGACGCTGAAGATCCCACGGCATACATCATGTCCTTCTCGGTTACATATTTCATCCCTTCATTCCACCCTTCGCCAAGTCAACTTACCACAGATTTAGCACCATCACCGCCAGTGTCCCAGAATTAGCACTAGCCGAACACCATGGCGCCATCAGACAACTTCGCACTTCTCAAAGGGTCCACCGTCATGGTGACAGGTGTCAACGGTTTCATCGGCTCCCACGTCGCGGACCAGTTCCTCCAATTCGGCTTCAAAGTCCGCGGCACCGTCCGCGACACGGCGAAGAATACATGGCTCAGCAATATTTTTGAAAAGAAATACGGAAAAGACAGCTTCGAGTTGGTCTCTGTTCCCAACATGACGGTCGACGGTGCCTTTGACGAGGGCGTTAAGGGTAAAATCCCCGTACTTTAATAATCATAAAGGCTACCTCTTTTGACCCCCTACTAGGAGTTTCAGCCCTTATCCACGTTGCGACTGTCGTCAACCTTAGCCCAGACCCTAACCAGGTTATCCCAAGTGCTATTGACGGCGCGGTTAACGCAATCAAATCTGCCTACAAGGAGCCTAGTGTTAAGCGCTTTGTGTTGACGTCGTCGACTGCAGCGTTGATGCCAGTAAGTCCTGAGAAGCGGCTAGATGGCTCGGTAATCACCGACGACACCTGGAGTGAAGATGCCGTTGAGCTGGCATGGGCACCACCACCCTACGTTCCAGAGCGCAGCTTGCCCGTCTATGCGGCCAGCAAAATTGAACAGGAGAGGGCGATCTGGAAGTTTTACGACGAAAATAAGAACAAGCGCCCAGACATGGTGGTTAATATAGGTAAGCTCCCAGTAGCACGATATGCGATGATCAACTCGATAACAAAAGGAAGTCCTCCCCAATCTAAATCTAGGAAAGAGCCTCGACCTCGTCCACCAGGGACACGCATCAACCTCTTGCGTACCTGTTGCCTTGTGGACCGGAGAAAAAATCCCGGACTGGATCGACGAGCCCAGTATGTCATAGGTTGCAGAAGGCCCGCTCAGAATAAATACGTAACTAACACGGTCATCATAGCGTACTTCATCCGTCCAAGATAATGCCCTTCTGCACCTTGCCGCGGCCGTTCTTCCCGATGTGAAGAGCGAGCGTATTTTTGGCATGGCAGAGCCGTTGAACTGGGATAAGATTCTGGCCATCCTGCGCAAGCAGAACCCTGGGCGCAGGTTCCACAAGAACTTCGCCGATGGCGGGTACATTCTCACGGTTAAGCCTAGGGACAGGGCCGAGCACTTACTGCGGGGGCTGGGACGTCCCGGATGGACTTCGTTGGAGGATAGTATTTTGGGGAATACCGAGGATCTCCGAGACGCGGCTTAAAAGAGCGATGATACTCTAACGAGAGGATGGAGTGTCTCTGCGAAAGATATTACTTGTGCTAAAGTTTCTTCTTTTTGCCCATTTCCTGATAGGAGTAGCATATTGTCGCATATCACCACTAGGTTCGTGCGACTGGATATGAATCGCGGCCGGTACTTTGGAGTCGTGTATCCGGTTTCACATTCAACTTGTTGCATCAAGAACTCCAATAATAACGACATAAGCTTATGCCTGAACACATGGCTGTTCAATTTCTTTTGTTCTTTAGATAAATTCTCATTAATTGACTGGTGCTATTAATGATCCCTGTTGAGCTAATTGTCTGACACAGACTTTATCTTTAAATATCAGGAACGACCTTTCGGCCGTCATATGGTTCGATTCCCTAATGTGAAGATTCTTGATACATCGTGTTGGTGATTATATTCCATAAATTCCTTGGCTAATCCGACAGCCCAGTCAGGCCGTTTGTCCTTGTGGGCGAACCAGCAATCGTTTTCGTGGTGGCCCTTCTTCTGCAGTTTGTATCCCAATAATTCGTCACGGCAAACACGGCTTCAGCGCCGGAGACAGCATGGCCTAAACACCACGGAACGCGTTGCTCCGTCGGTTGTGCCAATCAGTCGACAATCTTTACGACCCCCCCCCTCTTCGCCAACTCAACTCATTACTCGAGTAGAATCATGGACACTGGCTACATTCCTTCACCTACCATAAGAATTGTCACAACCGAGGCGGTGTCGGCAAGATCTTTATCGTTAACTCTGCTGTTGACGTTACTGCTGTTGATATATGCCTGCCGCAAGACATGACTGCTTGCGTAGACGGTTCTCACCTATATAGCACCGCGTTCTCAACGTTCTCCTAAGGGGTATCTTAGGGTGCCCTCCAATCTGTTCAGGAATGAGTCTGCGTGATAACAATGGACCACAAATAAATGGAGGTAAGTTAAACAGGCTTAGCACTTATATAGCAATAGGCAGTATGTACCGCCGACGAAAGTCCCAAGGATGCGATCCCCCACCGTCAGTGCTGCGAGGCCCAAATTACGCCCGGAGAGATGACTGCCGGAGAATGTTGGAAAACACTCCAAGAAAATCGACACGGCGCTGCCCGGTAAGTCCACTCGAGAATTGTACGATAACCTGTCCTGGATGAGGTGAGCATGTTGGCCCAACTCACGACAGGCATGGCGAGGCTAAACGCGTCACTCTTCCGGATCAGGGTCAGTAATCTACGTTCCATTTCCGCAGCAGGATAGCTGCGACTATGCCGAGGATAACCTTCAAGGCAGCGGCCCAGATAACCGATGAAGAAGTATAAATAGCTAGGACTGGCCCTAGAGAATAGGGGGGGCCAGAGATCAATACAGTCACAACCCCATCACTACCTTTTAGCAGCTATCTAGTAGCGTGTCGGCCCTCTTCACTCCTTATTGTGTATTCGAGCCCTGACACTCAACCTACACCTACACCTCGTGCCAAGAACAGCAGGCGCCGCTTCAGTTGCCGTAGATAGGACCCTGAACATTTGGAGAATAGCCTTCAAGTAGCTTGCCAATAAAACACTAAACCGCACGAGAAACCGGCGAAGAGGCGGAACACGACGAAGGAACTGGAGCGGAAAGTGGATTCTGTATGGGCTTCTGGGAGATCTGGACAAACCACAGGAAGCGACCATGCACGATAGCAAATAGTGCCTTATTTCCTCTTAGCCATCAGGCGTAATAAACCTGTGTGTGTGTACATACTGCGTAGCACGGGCGAATTGCAGTCCGAAACCGGGATTACGAACCAAGAATTCCACCGTACCAACTTGACATAACAGTGTTAATAAGTTGACGAGCGACTTTTCTAGCTGCTTTCGTGTACCCTGCCAAGCAAACAAACACATCTGGGTCATGGTCCTCGACTCCAGCTTCTTTCAGTCGCTGAATTGAACATGAATTGGGGCCAAAAGTCAAAGTAAGGTAGATGCGAGGATGGAGGCTTGTTGTACATCTGAGTCTCCCACCTAGATCTAGGTGAAGATCATGAAGACAGTTATGCAGACTACAAACGGACTCCTTACTGCTCCGGTACCAATGAACGTTAATGAATCCACAGGCTATGTAGCCAGCAACACAATTCCAATATTCTTTCCTCTCAGCGGAAAACCAGATGAGGTGATCTCAGTGAAAATAAGGGTGGGCGGACAGTCATCGTGGCCTCTGTGTCTGTACCGTCAAGATCAGTTGGAAGAGCTGAAAAGGACGTAATGGTCCGAAAGAAAACCCACAATTGACGAAGAAAGAACTACAGTGACCGCAAAAAATACTTCGGGCAACATTACATGTCCGGATGATAAAATCACACGAATCTGAGAATCAAGCTCCATATCCTCCCTCAAGCTGTCAGCTTTGCTTGGCGAGTTGCTGGCCTCGTTCGTAGAGCTTCTTGACGAGGCTCTTATCGTCAAATCCCACGCCGCTCTTGATGATCGAGTCGAAGGCATTCTGAGGCCCAATGGTGTGGAGAAGCCAAATAATGAAGGCATTGGTACCTTTCCAGATGGAGCTGCGGCCATTGTTGTCTAAGGCTTTAGGAATAACTTGCTTGGCGAAGGTATCGGGGGTCATGGAAACCTTGAAATGGCACGTAGTTCTCTCCTTGACCTTGTGTTCGACGTCTGCATATAGACTCTCTGGCCCAAAGTTGATGCCGTCAGTAGACATGAGGGCCGTGGAGACCTCGCCCATGAAGAGAGATGCTTATGCGTCGGGGAATTTACTTAAGCAGAGCGGCTGGTGGGGTCTAAGATTACTGTGGAAGAACATAAGACAAAGTCCGCGCGGCTGTTGACGTAATAATAAATGTAGCCATTAATAAGAGACGGAAGAGCGGGGACGGCATTTAGGGGTTACAGGGTCCGATGGGATGAGAAGATAGCACAGCCACGGCAAGCTCGAGGTGGCCGAACTTTTAAGAGGACAGACATTCCTCGAATTTGTCCAGTGCTACAAACGTGAACGGTATTCCTACAGTCGAGGCTGCCCTAAAGAAATTCCTAGACGTGCCCGACGACTACAAGGCATCTGATTCAGTGGGATCCTCGAAGCCGTAGCCCCTGGGCCGCCGAAAGCATGCTCAGTGTTGAACTGGTTTTGCATGGCGGGATATTGTTACATAATATGCATCTCTCATATACACAACTTATCAGCGCCTCCTGTTGGAGTGTGCATTCCACTTTTGGTCTGATGAGTTAGTGAGACAGAATGCAACAGATATGCGGTTCAGTGCCGCCGAACGGCTTCCGAGTTGACAGGACCAGCGACCCCGCCGGGCAAACTGTTAACACCAAGGAGGTAGTCGTGACCCTGTGGCGGCAGCATGTGCGTGTAATCGTGGATGTACGCCTGCTGAGTGTCGTGGGATGGCTGTTGTTGGTGCGGGGCGGTGTATGGGAAGCCAATGGTGCCATAGGGTGCGCCCGGCGTAGACATTGACCGCCAGGCGCTGTGGTTGATATCCCAGACAGGAACGTTGCCAGAGTAGGGTGTGTGCTGCACATTCACCTCGTAAATCTCGATGGAGCAGCGGAAGTTCTGAAAGGCGAGGAGCTCCACGCGAGGGACCAGGCGGTTCAATGTGGGGTCATGCATCGGCTGTTGAAGTCTGCCGTTTATAAGGTCGTCGGCTGTGTAATACGATACTAGGTGGTGAGGGGCGCCACGGTAGTTGATGCTGATAGTCTTCTTCATCAGGCCGCCTTCTCTGAAGTCGTACGAGTCGATGAGGGAGCCGTATACCTGCCGCTCGAGGTCGGAGCCCGTGCTTCCTCCCGCAGCTTGGGCGGCGGCATGGTGCGTAAGAATGCCGTTGATGCTTGATTCGCTGGTTGATTTAGACTTGACGATACTGTCGTTGGCCTTCTTGGGTTTCTTGGTGGCTCTCTTCTTCTCACCTTGGGAGAAGGGCGCGTGGAGCTCGCGGTATATCACGAAATTATTGAGGATGCGACTGGGACTCCAGGGGATGCCGTCGGTCCAGCGTTTGATGCCTGAAGAGTGCTCTTCGTAGATGTATACACAGCCACTTCTGGTGAGCTGGCTATATTCCCCGTCGTATGGCCGGCGGGCAACATGAGTACGCTGGCCGCCCAGGCAAGCTTCGAAGAGAACTATGGCGTCCGCGGTTGTGTTGATGTAGCCGTCGTATGTGGTTCGCAAGGGCGGACTCCATTGACAGGGATCAACGCTCCTTCGGGGCCCCATCGGACTTCTAATGAAGACTTGTCTGGGTGGAGCAAAGACACGAGGGATCCTCAAGATTTAATGTTAAGCTGAAAGATGCTTGTCAAAACAATACAATATATCTGATTTCGTTGTTCCGGATCAGTGTACTTGTAGGAAATGCAAAGATTGGCCCGGACGTTCGGCATTTGGTCGTCCTATTCTGTGTAGGGATGATCACCTGTATCGCTACCTAAAACCGTAAGTGGTATGCATTTTCCCCCTTTTCTCTCCTGCCACTCTTGCAAGAGAATCTCGTACAGCATGGCCTGGTACTATAGGGGTTAAGAATATTAGTTATTATAAGTATCGACTCGTCTCTGGAGCACTAATTAAATATATCAGTTTTATCGGTAAATACTATTATATTAAGCTTTTATTTCTATAGACTTCTAATAGCTTATACTATAGATTATTTATATTCTATAAGAAGTTAGCTAGTGTAATAAAGCTAACAGTTTACCTGGGAGTTTAATATAGTAGGGGATGCCTGTAGCTAGCTTAGGCAGTTTCTACTTAAGGTATTAAGTCTACTTAAAAAATAAGATAATATAGTTTTTCTCTTCTTTAATTAATATAATACCTTTAGTCTTAATATGCTTATTATCTATAGCTGTTATAGCGGCTCTTATTAATATTTTCTCTTTTTTTCTTTTTAAAAGGTATTTAGAAGTAATTAATTAATTACTTTCTATATCTTCTGCTTCTAAAAGACTGTTTTTTTATTATTTTTTATTTTTTATTATTTTATTATACTTTTTATTCTATAAATAAATCTAATATATATTTAAAACTTCTTTTATTAATAACTTAGCTAACTTATATAAATTTTAAATTTAATTTAATTAAATAGATAATAATATTTAATAATAACTTATTTAAGAAAATAACTAACTTAGCTATAGTTAATATTAAATTATATTTATCTTTTATAATCTTTTAATAAAATATATTAATACTTCAGGAAACTAATTCAGGTTCTTTAACGCTTTAATAGTGCTGAAAACCGGGTTGACGTTCGGGGAACGCGACGACTCTGGCAACAGTGCCATCTCGAGATGTGTCGGGTCCCCATAGACGGCTTCGCCCCGCGGTAGGGGGCGACTGACCATGACGCCATCTTTCGTTACATTCTGACTAGCACTGGAATCGGCTACTGCGTTGCTGTTCTCGCCGAAGCTACCAGAGTAGCCTGTCTGATGGTGTCTGCGGAGGCTTCATAAGTGTGCCGGGGAGATTGGTCATGCGACGCTCCGCCCTGGCAAGAAGCATCTGACCTTCCTTCCTGAGCACGAGCTAGAGCGATTCGCTTCCGATCAGGTAGAGCAGGATAAGACCATTGGCATTGGCGCGTTCACACTGACGGCAGACTGGGCGTTCGCGGTTGCACCGGAGCTTCTCGACGCGTCAGTCCACGCCCCTTGAGGCGGGCGTGCTCCATCGTCAGTGGTAGGGAGAGGACAACCTTTTGCTTCCGGCACCGCAGACAGGCCACGATTGGAGGCCTCCGTTGATCCATTACCTAACAGCTTCAATGAGTCGGCAGATAGGAAATTGTGGACATGCCCATCACGAGGACTTCGGCCATACCTGAGGGTTCGGGGATCTCCCTCAAAGCACAGATGGTGGACCTGACAATCAGGGCGGTTGGAGCCCTGGAGACAGTCGGGCGAACCTTTTGCTTGGGGCATCGCAGGCACTCGACCGAGGGAATGCCGTGGTTCATTGCTGTGGGTGGCTTATTCGGCGTTCGGTAGAGCGAAGGCGATGAGGGAGAAGGAACAACTTTGTTCGGGGGAGCTTTCATCCGACGGGACTAAAGGGCCGGGTCCGGGGAGCGAGGTCGGGCCGATGGTCCCCAGTTGATTCGAGTTCGGACAAGTTTGCTCTGAATGACAACATGGCCCCTCGAGGCTTCACCATTTCATACACCCTGACGCAATTGTGATCCGAGGCGAGGGGCACATGAACGTGCAGTCTCTCCCCGTGGGGTAAGCAGTTGGATCAACGTTTGCATTAGGCATGTCCGCTCCCTGCTTACAAACCTTGGACGAATCCCACGTGGACTAATATATTTCAAAGCAATGCCGAACCCTCCGGCGGACTTGTTCAAGCGACTAATAAATAAATAAAAGTCTTTGTACTTTCTCCTCCATACCGAATAACCATCCCCTCCCATTTTTATAGATTTCAAACTCCATTTCTTAGTAACTCCAAAATGTCGCAACTCAAAATCACCCATCCAGACCCGAAGGTTCAGGAACACATCACCAAGCGCCAACAAAGCTTCACCGACGCCTTCAACAATGCCTCCGTTCCAGCACTCATGGCAATGTTCGCCGATGACGTTGAATTCAACGACTATGGTACCTCGCCCCTTTCACTTCCCCTCCAAGTCCACGCTAAAACCTCCAGCTACGGGCGTGCTCAACCTAAACCGCACCTCCCTTGAACAATACTACGCCGAGATGGTGGCCACCTTCCGAAACATCAACATCCGCACCAAGTCTATCAGCGGAAGCGAGCACTTCACTGCCTGGGAATGGGATCTCACAATGTACCAGTTGCCTTCTGAGGCGGCTGCGGATTCGGACTCTAAGGCTGAGAATACTATTGGGAAGGAGATTAATATGGTCGGTGTTAGTTTGATGTGGTGGAATGCGGAGGGAAAGATTATAAAGAATCATGATTATGGGAAGGAGGTGCCGAATGCGGAGTAAGGTCGGCTTTGTATTGCACGCCGAATGAGCCAATAAAGCGTTGCAGGGCAAGCCGGGAAAAGGAGAGTCGCAAAGAAGATGGGATAACTTTTGAAGAAGCCATTAGAGTGCTATCCAAGGGGCCGGGAGGGGGGGGGGGAGGCGAGCTGAGACTAGGCGGAGGAGTTAGCCATAGGGGGCTGCATATCAATTGTGGGGGTGGGTAAGCATATCCGGGGGTAACTGTTAGACAGTACGGGTATTAGGTCCATTGGTCAAATCTTTGTTGTTCTTGTTTATGTCTGAAGTGTCTGTGCCCCTGAGATACTTGACTTGTATCAACATGCATTCTCAAGACGTGACCACTGACACTGTCAGACGGAGGGATCCGATCCGTCCGGGATGATTAAGGAAGCGGGGTCTCGGAGACCGTAGATGAACTTTTAACCTAAGTATACTTTAAATTAGTATTTCACAGTAATTTCTAATGTTTCTAGACTTTAGTACAATAAGCTGCTTCCCCCACCCGAAATACAACCCGGTTGTGTTTTTATTTCGGGGAGGGCCCTAGCCAAGCAGACAAGTAGCGTCAGATATATAGTTGATGATACCGGTAGCTGGTATTCAAGATTCTCCAATCTATTCAAATGTATCTATCTATACAATGGTGTTGCTTCCGGGCAGTCTTGGCATCCGTTGATACCGGCCCCTCTCCGTTCAGCCTTTGCTGGTCGCCGAAATATCGAACATCTCAATAACCGTGTTCCTTGAGCTCTTTTTCTGTGAATTCCCACAACGCATCTGAGACCCCAGCGTTGGTGACGATGGGCTTTGGGTTGAACTCCACTCCCACTGGGTAGTAGAAGCCGGCTTGTTTGACATCTTTACTCTTTGCCGTGGCAGCCCAGAGCTGGTTCAACGCGCCATCCTTGACAGGAGTAAAAAAGAATCGGTTCGCGATGAAGACAATCGGAGTCATCAACTTGTTCGATTGTATCATGCCTGACATAAGGTTGGTATGGACAATGCCTGGATGGATGGCCACGGACTTGATACTGGGGTAGCGCTTGGCAAGCTGCTGGGTGTAGTAAATGTTGGCAAGTTTGGATTGGCCGTAGCGGGCCCAGGTACCGGAGGATAGCATTTGTGATTTGACCTCTGAAAGGACGAGGCCTTCCTTGGGGGCTTGGGTATGGGCGGAGGAACTCAAGTTGATGATCCGTACGTCGCTGCCAGGAGCGGCGGCAGTCTTCTCGAGAAGCGGTAGCAACAGCTTCGTGAGGAGGCCATGGCCCATGTGGTTGGTGCCAAATTGGATCTCGTAACCCTCTTTGGTGACGGCAGCCGGCGTGGCCATGATGCCGGCATTGTTCATCAGAATGTCGAGTCGCTCGGAAGACGCGTGGACCTGACTGGCAGCGCTCTGAACCGAGGCAAACGATGACAGATCCAGGGGGAGGAACTGGATTTTGGCGTCTAGGACGGTCTTCTTTATCTCGTCAATGGCCTCCTTAGCTTTCGCCTCACTTCGAGCACCCATAAAGATGTTGGCCGGATTGCGCTTCGCCAATTGAAGGATAGACTCCTTCCCGAGCCCACTACTGCCGCCTGTCACCAGGATGACTTTGCCAGACAGGTCTGGGATGTCGCGATCCGGGTTAAAGTTGATGCCACCCATTATTGGTCGAATTTGTTGTGTCTTGGGAGCGAGGTGTGCGGAGGGGGAATCCTGAACTCGATGGTAATTATATGGAGTCGAAAATAACATGGCTGGAGGCCGGGTTTTATGCTTTTATTTTCAAGACACGTACATGGCCCAGTTCCGACTTTCTAAGGCCCTCTCGATGGCCTATAGGTTCCCCCAACTGATGTGATTAACGATTTGGCCTCCTGAACCCGAGCCAGAATGACGGCAAGCTGACAAACATCCTTCGGACCCGGCGAGAAGTTCCTCCCCGCCGGAGGTATTCAACGCCGATACTCCACCCCGCGTATTAAAGCACTAGCTAGAGGCTGAGCTGGGTACCCCCTCCCCACAACGCCCCTATTCCCCCCCCTGCCATGCCGCACCAGGACATTTGCAACCTCTACAACGCGCACACAGTTTATGTATCAAGAGGTTAGGGTGCCCTAGTACACACATACCCAGAGGGGGGACTAGAAGCTCAACAGTAAAAAAAAACAAAAAAAACCACCAACAATAGGATCAACAATACAGACTAAATACCCAGTCTATTCAAAGGTCAACAGTTACAGTTTATATATATTTCGGCTAATTCGTGATGTTTGGCTACTGAAAATGGAATCCTCTATTCAAGAAGCTCTCTGTTTTATTAATGATTTTGCGGTCACAAGACTCGCCGCCTTGGCGCGAGATTTCGGCGAACTGCGTAGTCGACTTCGATACTGCTATAAGGCGGGCTTCCGGAGGCAGGCCAGCCAGCTGTGAAGAAGAAGCCTACAGAGCTAAAAAAAGAAGCTTAAAATGTGGAAACTCAGCATAGGCTGTTTCTTCTAATTTATCTCCAGTTTATATAGTTTAGTTTGCTGGTATTTTATAATAGAAATAGACTATTTCTATACTTAATAAAGTTAATTATACTTTGAATTACCTGCTTTAAAAATTACAAGTAGGTATTTCTATAATAATAAGGATATACCTAATAAATTATTTATTTACAGGCTACTTAATATATATTTTATATAGAATCTTTTTAATTTATTATTTTTAAAAAGTATACAATTATTATTAATTTATTATATATATAACATATATTTTTATATTTTAATTACTATTAATAAAAATATTCTATAATATATAGAGTATTTCTTAAAATATTATAATATAGCTATATATTAAGTTAATAATTATTATAAAAATTCATTAAAAATTATAATATCAGTTCAAATATACTTAAATAAATCTCTTAAAAATAAACATAATAAATTAATAGACTTTCTAGCTGCCTTAAGCTCTTTCAGTTTCTCTAACTTCTAGAAAGACTCTCTAATAAAAGAAAAAGCGATAATTCCTCCTCTATAACAGCTCTAACCTCCCCTTTTATCCCCATTAAGCTTGAGACCTCCCTGCTAGCAACCAGCTAGCCCAAGAGTCCCTGACCGCCTGTCACAGTAATTTAGCATATAACAGCCCGGAGATAAGTCGAGTATCGCATTTCCAAGTCCGATTATTTCTTTATTAACACCGTCTATAATAGCCGGCGCACAACTAAGAAACACGGAAGATGCCGAGCACAGGGCTGCCGCGCCAAAATGAGAATCTGCACCTAGTCGTACTCGGCGATCGCTATTCTGTTCCTAGGGACGCCACTGCGTCTCCAATGGGAATGGCTCGGATGGAATGATTCGTGGTGGGGATCGGCACAATGATGTCCGACTGATTATGAAGCAGGACGGTACAGCTCATCAGGTCGTAGGCCAGTGGCGGAGGAGGGGTAGAGAGATACCTACCTTACGTAGGAGGTAGAAACACAAAGCTCTCAACATTCGGCTTGAGCCTGGTGATCACAACCAATAAGACTCCTCCCTCTGATATTTCATCATATCCTCTCCCAGAACAACCAGCGCATTCCCCTCTCAGGCGTCAAACAATCCTGATACCCAACAACGATCAATTCAACATAGCACAATGGCCGCCTCCAAGCCCAGAATTCTCGTCGTCCTCACCTCGGCCGATAAGGTGCCCAAGAACGGCAAGCCCATCGGCTGGTACTTGGTGAGAAACCCTATACTTGACTCGGGTCTGTTCTTTCCGCGGTCACAACTAACAAGTCTTGTCTTCAGCCCGAGCTCGCTCACCCTTTCCACGTCCTCCGCGGCAAGGCCGACCTCACCTTTGCTTCCCCTAAGGGCGGCGAGGCACCCCTCGACCAGGCTTCGGTCGACATGTCCAGGGACGACCCCGTCTGTAAAGACTTCCTCGAGAACCACTCGTCCAACTGGAAGCAGACGCAGAAGCTCTCGGACCTTGCCGACCGCGCCTCTGACTTTGACGCCGTCTTCTACCCGGGCGGCCACGGCCCCATGTTCGACCTCGTCTCGGATCCTGACTCGCTGCGCATCCTCCGCGACCTTCACTCCCAGAACAAAGTCATCTCAGCCGTCTGCCACGGCCCTGCCGCCCTGGTCAACGCCAAGACGGCCTATGGCGAGTACATCATAAAGGGGCGCGGGGTCACGGGCTTTGATGATGCTGGTGAAGAGATGTTCGGATACACCAACGACATGGACTTTTCGCTCGAGAGACGGTTGAACGAGAACAGTGGTGGAAAATACTCCAAGTCTGCCGATGGACCGCTTGGAGAGAAGGTTATCGTGGACGGCAAGCTCATCACAGGGCAGAACCCGGCCTCGGCCTACGGCGTTGGCCATGAGCTGGCCAAGGCATTGGGCATTTAATTCTTTTGTAATCATGACAGCGAAATGAGAAAAAAGTCAATGCATGATTACTTGTCCATTGTTTCCATGTTATTGATCTGCAGAGCTGATTATCATGCTTTCCCAACACCAGAAACAGCCAGTATTGACATACAACGCCAAAAGATGTAACAAGTAGAGGCTTCAGTTCTTCGCGCTGAAAGCACCCTTCTGTTGCATACCCTTATACCCAAAAGCTCTGCCGGCAACCTCCTCGGCCTTACCATATCCCTGCCTCGAGGCGTCGGGCTGCTCGGCCTTCATATTGGACTGGCTGTGGGTCTTATCCTGTTCGCCCGAGACTATCCAGGCTTGCGAGCCTGTGTGGTTGCCGATGGCGCTCTGGACATTTCTTAGCTATCTACTCGCCACATAGAACGGCCTTACAGGAGGGCAGGTACCGCCGTGTTCTATTGCCATTACCAAACAGCGAGTAAGGGTAACTACGAAACGCATCTCTATAAGTATGCGATTGCGGACGTGATATGCGGCGACGTCAATCCATCGGTGAAGCTGCCGCTGTCGTTCCCGGTTTAAGTTGAAGACAATCCTGCATTTCTCAACTACCGTTCGGAGAGAGGCCGCGTGCTCTACGGCGAGGACGTCTACATTATATACCGCTATTTTGAGACGATTAAAAGAAACCCCGTTGGCCATTTGAGTGGGGGTTGTCCTACATCTTTCGGGATGTCGCAGCTTCATTCTGTTGCTGGATGACATGTTTTTGTGCCAGAGAGGGTCACGATAGACAACGACTTCTGCTTCGATAGACCGCCCTGAAGTGAACTCCAGACGGTGACCCATCAGGTTCTCGCGGATCTTGGCCACATATAGATCAAGGGTTTCCCTCACACAGTGTCTTCTCAACGTCATCGACCACTCGACCAGACGTCTTGCAACATGAGAATCCAGGATCACATCCCGCACGCTCAGGCTGGGCCCCTTGAGGCTCCAACCCCGACCATGCCCGAGACAAGCCTAGACACCAAGCGCTGGTGTTGGTGTACATTTGGGACATTCCGCATCAACGGCACGGCACCGTGGAGGATCCATTCGACCTTGCAGGGCCTCCATTCCATCATTCAACTGGCCTTCATTTGGTTCGTTCCCGGGTCTCCGAGATGGCTGGTCAGCAAGGCTAGCAAGGAGGAGGCGCTCGCAATGCGGGTCAAATACCACGGAGAAGGAACGTATTGTCAAGATCAACGTGAAGTAGCAAGGTATCATGTTGACTGACAAGGAAGTTAGCCTAGTAGTGCAAAGGGGCAGGGCCACTTGAGTAGTGCTAGAGTGAAATCGTGATATTGGGCTGCTTCATTCTCTGACTCGACCATGGGAGCCCTAGTAGGTCACAAAACGAAGTGCCCTACAACGGTGCTAGGCTGATTAGAGCAACAGAGGTCGTCTAGTGGTAGGACGAAATGTAAATACTGCGTAGGGGTAGGAGAGTCGAAGAGCTCACGAGAGTCACAAGCCAGATGCGCGCAAGGAGTCAATTTGTGGATGAGAGATCCGATGACTCGATGGATGACAACTATCTCGCTATCTAAAATTGTCCGTAGAGGCGCCCCACATTCAGGACGCCTGTGTGCCGCGCCCAGCTTTAGTAGGTAATCTAACAACTAGACTTAAATCTGGCGTTTCTGCAGGTCGAATATCGGGAGCTATTTGTTCCTTCTTTCGAAATGAGGACTTGTGAGCGATAGGGGAATATGGGGAGGGAGAAGATCAAACGAGTTCTCCATATCTGAACTATGTATGACAACTGTATCATATATCAACCTCTCTATATGAGAATCTAGATAACAAAAACCTGGTATGGTATAACGGTAAATATGCCGACTAATCCAGCTACAGTATATAGCGTAAGAGGCAATTTAAGTTATTACAGTATATAAGTAAAGATATAGAGCTGGCTGTTACTAGGTTAGATATAGTTATTTAAATATAATTTTATAATATTATAAGAATAGTAACTAAAATTATATTTTAACTAACGTACATAATAAGCGAGTGCACCAACCAAGCGAGTGCACCAAAAATCCCAACCTTTAAAATTAAAACTTCAATAAAAATATAACAACACCTCAAATCAATTAAAACTAATCGCTATACTCTTCTTTAGAGGTCTCAATTACAGCTTGGCAGGTCCTTGCATTATGACCGGCCTTTCCACAAGTTCCACAGCGCCTTTCCCTCGGCATTGCCGACCTTGCTCGACCACCACTTCTCGACAATTCAGCCACTACCTGCGCATCAACGTCTCTCTGATCCATCTCATCCCTTCCCTCATTTAGAGTCATCTTCCCTCCTTTACGTAGGCGGGTTCTTTTCGCTCTGCGCCGCTTGCTAAGAGTCTCATTTGCCTGTCGAAGGATCTGGACCTCAGACTTCAATAGGGCGTTCTGATGCATTATCGCCTTCGTTCCCTTTGAAAGCGACTTAAGCGCCTTAAGAATTGATGCTGGAGAGCTGCTCTGATGTCTTCTCATTTGCCTTTCGAGGTATTTAGACTGCGAGCTAGCTTTAAGTA